TCAATAAGCAAAAGTCTATGAGTGCCGATATTGGGTCTGTAGCATGCTGGGAGGAAAGGCTACCAAGTTTGTTCAAATGAATGACCTCAACCCACTTTCAAGGTCACAGGGGTCAAATATGTTAAAATATACAAACGACTTCTTCTCAACAAGCAAAAGTCCATGAGTGCTGATATTGGGCCTGTAAGATGCTTGGAGGAGAGGCTACCAAGTTTGTTCAAATGAATGACCTCAACCCACTTTCTAGGTTTGGCTTGCTTTTTGTCAGATGACCGTTAAGGCCCATGGGCCTCTTTTTCCTTGAATTAGCTGTATTTTTGGTCATGGGTTTAGTCTAAATCTGGCAACTAAAGCACACACCATGCAAAATTTAAAACATAAACATCCAGGTATTTCCACCTTTCCTATAAGGAGTAGTGACCAGAGCTTGTTACCAGACACTCTAACAATGTGCACAATGATAAAATAGGTTCCAAAATTGCCGTAAGATCATTCATAATCATTCTGAGGCAGAGTCTCAATGTACTAGCTGTTGGCTACCTCAATGAACACAAAAGGAGGCCTATAACACATATCATTCAAAGAAATTCAGGTGAAGTTTCTAACCTAACCCAAGGACACAGCTACAATAGCACAGAGCATTCTATTTCTCAGTTTCACAAAAAACACAAATTGTCACGAGTCAGGAGTATCCTATCATGTATTCAGGATGTTCACCTGTAGTTACATAGACAAACACTCTACCAGATGAGCTATTGTGACCCCTCAAGCAATTATAATATTGTAGACAATTTAGGTTATTCATCCCAATCCCATTGACTTATTCAATGTCAAGGTCATTGGAGGTTCTTATTCCTAACCTTATTACAATTAATTCGATGACAATATCATTCTACGTTCTTCATCCCTTATCCTGTAACAAATAAAATGTCAAGGTCATTCCAGGATCTTTATTCTTAATCAAGTAACAAATTCTGTCTGTCGTAATCCTTCACCTAGTGACAAATTAAATGCCAAGGTCTTTGCAGGCTCATTATTCTTAATCAAGTAAAAAATTCTGTCTGAAGACTCTTCTAAGTTCTTAATCCTTCACCCGGAGACAAATTGAATGTCAAGGTCAAGGTCATTCCAGGTTCTTCATTCCTAATTATAACCCAGTAACATAATAAAAGAAGCATACATATGTAGGATATATAGGTTTTTGTTAATCCATGACCAGTAATATTTGAGTCCAGAATCATGCATTTCCTGCAGGACTCGTCAAAACTTTCAGAACCCACTCTCCTTAATAGAAAAATGCTGCTTCTTTGAGAATAACTAAAAGACCAATGTGATGATATTTTGTCAGAAACATAGGCAGCAGGGTCATCAAGTTTGTTAAAAATACTTAGAACTTTAAGTACTTATTTTCTACATATGTGCTGACAGCATGGGAAAATATAAAGCATTGTATATCATCAGATGACTGTCATGTCTCTCATAAAGCTCAAAAGCTCATAAAACTGTTAGCGAGTTCTTTTTATTCTGCTGACATATTTTGAGGCGTCTTAATTATATAACCTTTTGACATTAGCTGATGAGTTAAGTAAGTTTGATTTAGGTCATGGTTGGAAAGTGACATTGCAACACTTTCAAGCATATAAAATTTCCAATGTGACCACCATGGTGTTATAGGTCAAAATCTTCAAAGGTCAATTGTCTACAAAATTTCTGCAGTAGAAAGTGTATTAAAGTGTATGTCCTTTAACTAAGCAAGTCCTTCGTTATCTACATTTAATCTGTTACTGATAAATACATCATCTAGTCATTGGTAATATGTTAGAAAAACATTATACACTCACAACATATCACTAGATATCCTACTTCAAAAGGATCTAACTATCTGTGATTTCAGTCTTGTCTTAGTCAACCTCGATCATCGAGACAAAAATCAAATCTTCGATAGGTAGCCAGTGTATAGATATCCATTCCCAGATTTTTTTTAATAAATATTTAAACTATTCCTGTTGAAATTCACGTACATTTGTATTGTGAAATCAGAATTAAAATAACAGCATTGTCAAGTAAGTGTGATGACAGCTGTTTCTGTTGTTTATCTTTAAAGGGACTAATTTAATCAATTTCTTTATTTTTTCCCCATGTGTTGGATTCGGTCAAGCATTGTTATATTTAAAATTTGACTCTTCACAAAATTATAATACTCTCTGAAAGAAATTGAAAAAGATTATCAGCTTCAAAGTAACAATAATTGACACTTGCAGTTGCGTATACCACCCTGTTTTGTTTAGAGATTACCAAGTTCATCACATGATCTTTCAGAACCTTGTTTCCACTCACTGTTTTGATATGATTTCTCACTATGTATAATTATATAATTAGCCAAAACTTAATTTGCCAGCCATGCTTTAATTCTTACTTTGTTAAATGACCTCTTGTTTCATGCTATATGCATTACAGAATGAAATAAATTAATTTGAATTAATCTGAATCTAAAAATGCATGTGCAAAGACACTGCTTACACTCTCTTAATGATAATGATATGAATTAATGTTGGGTGACACTTATTTTATTTTATTTTAATTTTTTGACATAATAAACAAAAATTATGCAAACTTTAAAATATCATAATTAACTGAAAGGACACAATTTTTAACAGATTGTTAAAATGTCATAATTTTTTTTGTCAGTTATGAAATGAAAATCTAACCATTAAGTCTCTTTAAGGCAGGATGTGTTTTTTCCACAGTAAAGTTATTACATTGTTATTTTAGCAATCATGCTTCATACCATATGAGTTTATATACCTAATTTTTCAATAACATATATTACTACCGTATATGAGATAGCATCTATTATCATCTGTATGATTCTTATAAAATAAATATCTTCTGGTTTTGCTCCATATTTCAACTTTAAGATTGCTTTATATTAAGATTAAGATTGGTTTTATATGTATATATCTGAAAAACTACATCATCACAGATATGTAACTACGGTTGTATTCCTTATTCTACAGTCAAGCATGCAGGTATTGTAGTAATACGTTAAAAATAGTTGACTTGAAGTCTCAACGTTTAGAAATAAGAATTAATTAAATTGATGCATTGCAGGAAAAAAATCAAAACAATACAGAACAACAGCTATAACTAAGTATCTCCGTTCTTTCTATCAGTAAATAATCATTGACCATGTTCGTATATGTCATTCATGGATACTCTATTAGTCTTATAGCAAAGGTAATCAATGAACACCTGTTGGTGACAACTGACAAGTAACCACGTACTTCGGTATGGCATGTAATAGATTGCAACTTACCTGTATTACAACTTATCTAATCCAAAGAAATGATAAACAAATTGTCCGTTCGTTTTGATTGTATATCCTTCTATTCTTGTTTTAAATGTGCCTCTCGTCAGACTTGCCGTCACTATAGCCTAAAATACCTTTCATATGTAAATTACCTGTACTCGGTTGCTTTGTGTCAACAGTCCACACCTTTGTAAACCGGAAGTGCTGTTCTCTTCCGGATGGCTCTTAACATTATCGCTAACCACAGTCTAGAGGCAATCCGAAATGCAATCAAAATGGACGCGGGAATCAATGGTTTGTTAACTGATTTTAACCGACAATTTTGTATATTTTATAGTCTTGAATAAGTTTACCACCATTTGTGAAAGAGCAATGTATGAATGAGTCTACAGATAAGACACGACTTTTTAAATAATTTAGAGACAACAATTATTTAGCAGATAATTCAAGCAGAAGAAAAAATATTTGCTCGATACGAAAATCCAGACACGCCGTTAACTCGCGATCGTATCACTCGTAAATTGTAAACAATGTTGACCTACAATACAAATTGCAGTTTTAACCTGTTTCAGTTTGAGCTTAAAAGAACGAAAAAGAATTAGATTCGTAATGATACAGAAAAAATAGCAGTTGCACAAAATATGTATATCTTCTGGTGTATTTACCTAGGAGGCATATTGAATTGGTAATCTTATCACCTTGTAACTTAAGTGATTTTCTTATCAACTGGAAAAAATACGGGCTGGGAAGATCCCCTAGAACACGAGTTTAAGATTAATATGTACAAGCAATGGGAGATGATATAGCTGATGTCATTCATGGCTCGCCAATTTTCACAGATGGCTTCCGCCAACAGATGAAACAACATTTAGGGCCTGGTTTACACAAACAAATTAGTCTATCAGGACTTTAAATGTGATGTTTAGATTCATCCTTATTTCATAAACAAACAATCCTTGCCCAACTGATCTAACAGAGTAAAGTAATCCAGTTCTGTGCAGTAAGAACTCTGCAGTACAGGGCATATTTATTTAAATGTTGATTACTCACTATTGAACTTTTAGATAACGCTAAACAAAGGTTCATCTAAAAACATGTTGGTTTTATTGAAGGTTACTTTTAGTCAATTGTTTGTCCATGCATTTACAATAAGATTTTGGAAGCTAGAAAAAACTTGTTAAAAAATTACATTTTCAAATTCAATGTACGATGATGCTCAACTGATCATAGAATATATATAATAGACCCTTTTTCATAGTGTACTGTAGCTTGAGTATAACTTTAAAACTTTAAAATATCTTATTCCAATGTGTGATTTTACAGATTTTGAATTCAAGGCATCAATCAAGACAGACCAATGAATATAATAAGGCCTCAAAAGGCTTAGTCGGAGCTCATCAGAAAGTGAAATAGGATCATTAGGTCTGCCCTTATTTCATAAGGAAAAAATCTTGGTCACACAGATAAACAAAAATAGCCTAGGTCACCATGTGGTGTGCTGGAAAGTCCAAACCATGGGTCACTGTTTACAAAGGATTGGAATATATTGGATTACATGTAGCATGTTAAACTAAATATTATTATACATTGTATTCTGAAAATCTCTATTTTAAATTTCAGGATCTTGAAAGGCAGTGCAAATTCTTGTGCCAAGATATAGATATTGCTGTTGAAATGAGCAAATATTGGGATGAGTTCCTTGTCATTTTCCAAGAACGTGGAAAAATTGTGCAAATTAGTTAGACGGTTAGAAGCAGTAGTCAAGCAACCTTCAAAAAATGAAGCTAAAAAAGAGAAAGCTTGTGCTAAATTAAAAGAGGCAACCAGGAGCGTCCAAGATGCCTTAGAAATATTGCATTGCTCAAGTGAAGATGTGAATGAGAAATCATTTGAAGGTAATTTCACTCTTGTTTTGTTTGTTTTGTTTCTGATTATGAAGTTATTGTTGTTGTATACCTTGCTCTCATTTGAGAATGTGACATTGCTTACTTGGATTGACCAAGGCTTACATGGCAGGTATCATCAATGAAGCAGGAGACGCTTATCATTCTGAAACACTTGGTCTTATTCTTTTACTTTTTCAGGAGTGTCTGTGTAAATCTTTCTTTTGTTCATATTTTGTTTTATGGAATTTGAGTCTGATTAATGATTATCTTGTCATGTTGGTATTTTCTTGATGTTTTTGTGTTTATTTATATGTGACATTTGGCACATATTTTGCAATTTAGACACAATTTTATTATCAATCATCAGTATTAATTTTCAATCAGTCTCCAATAAACATTTTCAAATATCCCACCAACTCATATGATATAATTATGTTCTGGTGTTTTGTAGGTGCTTTGTCTGACCGAGGGCTTTTGGGTGTGGCTAAGAAACTTGGTCATGACTGGAAAATGTTGGCTACTCACCTTGGCCTGAAGCAATATGAGCTTGAGCAAATTGAACGGGACTATCCTTATCAGGCCATCCAACAGAACCACAAGGTCCTTATCATTTGGCGTGAAAAACAGCTTACCAAGCAGAGGTCAGAAGTGAAGATTCTCAAATCCCTCAAACAAACATTACTGTCCATTAAGCGTCAAGATATTGTTGATCACTGGGATGGGATAATCTATTCTTCACAAGGTAAATTGTAGAAATACAAACTCAAAATGAATTGTAACTTACTAGATTTTCAAATAAAGCTCTTTCATTGGCATTTGATTTTGTCCCATAGTGGATAAATAATTTTCACTTACCCCAATTATATTGCATATCTTTGTAAATTTTTCAGTGATTTAGGCATTCTTTTGAATGCATGGAATATTAAAAATATACCCACAAAATTATTTATCAGAAAGCTGTGAGAAAAATTAACATTGTTGATAATAAATGGAAATGATACTACTGTTCAATGCATACAGGCATACAGGTACAGTTTGTTATGTTGATTTATTATGTAAATGTAAATTCAGGATGCTTTTTTAACACACACACCCCTCCCCATCCCCCACCCCCACACTCATGCCCTATAGTGATTGCTCTGTATATCCCTACCCCCTTTGTCTCGGAAAAAATATTAGACTGCTTCATAACATTGTAACCAGTGTATTATTGGCCGGGTTGCATATGGTGCAAATCTGGGTTATAGAATGGTGAATAGTAGGTGGGCGGCGGGGAAAAGGGGTACCAGTTTTGTAGAATCAACTCCTCCTAGAGTTTTGACATAGAAGCTTGAAACTTTGTAGGATGTTTACATATATGTTGAAGATGTGCACCTCCTATTATGGATTCATTCTGGACATTTTTCGGGATTTTCCGAGCTTTAGAACTTAGATATTTTCTGCAGTTTGGTAGGGAACAGGGGTACCAGTTTTGTAGAATCAACTCCTAGAGTTTTTGACGTAGTAGCTTGAAACTTTGTAGGATGTTTATATATATTGAAGATGTGCATCTTTCAATTTAGAATTCATTCTGGATCTTTTTGTCTTGATTTTCTGGGCTTTGGAACTTAGTCTTTTTCAACAGTGTGGCGTGGAAAATCCAAGATGGAACCCTTTGCCTCTCATTGGTTGAGATGTTGTTTTAAGCACAATAGCCTCTCATTGGTTGAGATGTTGTTTTACGCACAATAGCCTCTCATTGGCTGAAACGTTGTTTTGAGCACGATATATAACATTGCACTCATCCCGCAATCCTGTCAATTGTGGCTTTGCCCCATTTTTAACAACTATGAGAAGGTGTGTCACAAAGCAACTTCTTTTGTCCTCTAAAGATTAAGTTCTCAAACTGAGAGCTTTTCATAGGGCCCCTATAACGTAATACAGTGTTTAGTAGAGGGATAACACTTTGCATGATTGTTTACCACTTTTAGGTGAGTCTCATGCTTAATTTGTTTTGTTCATTTAAAAAATTAAAATGATAAAAATGAGATGCATCAAAGTCCAGAGCACCTTTTCTGATGTGATTCTCACCTAATTTTCCAGATACTACTGTTGATGAACTGGATGAAGAGGTAGATGATAACAGAAATGTGACTACTTCTGTTAATAATGAGACAGAAAGAGATGGCATTGTTTTGGACACTTCATGTAAATCTTTCAAGAAAGAAGAATGTGTAAATAAAGATGTCTGTAATTCCAGCTTAGATCTGTTGAAATCTACTGATAATAACAATGGTATTGTGGAAAACAAGCCTGTTTCAGAAGCGGTCAGTGATGCTGAAACAGTCGACTTGGATGAGGATGCTAGTAATCAAAGCTTGGATCTCTTGGAAACTCCATTTGTAATCACTCCCAAGAAAGAGGAATGTATGAACAAAGATACCTGTAATTCCAGTTTAGATCTGTTGAAATCTACTGATAATAACAATGGTATTTTGGAAAACAAGCCTGTTTCAGAAGCGGTCAGTGATGCTGAAACAGTCGACTTGGATGAGGATGCTAGTAATCAAAGCTTGGATCTCTTGGAAACTCCATTTGTGATCAATACAAACGAAGGAAGTCCTAATGAAGACGTCAGCAATAACAGGGATGATGGTGGTACGACAATGGTGTGGAAAAACCCAGTTAAAGAAGAGATTATGAATAGTTGGGAACCAGATGTAATAGACCTTGCAAGTATTGATGACTGTTCATTAGAAGGAAACTTGAAAGATCACTTCAGTTCAGGAAAAGAGGTAAAAAAAATGTTTTTTAAGGTTTCCCTTAAAGGATTTTCTGTATATACTTTCAAGTTTATAAGTTTTCAAGGTATCTATTTTTTCGTTTTTTTTTATGCAAATTTTCTTCCTTTCTTGGTTATAGAGAAAATAGAACCCTTAGAGAATTAACACGTTTACAGTGTTACAGAAATTGTGTGGGAACATAGGCAGCTGATAGACATAGTAATTTAGGGAATAACAAATCATAGATATGTGCTACATATTTTCTTGTGTGAAACTTACCTGGTTCCAGCACAATCAGTTTTTAAATTAACCTGCAGTGTGCTTAAAACTTTGCCATTATTCTTATAATATCGTTGTCAGATTTTTGTTGATTTTTCAGCAAAATTTTGATAAAGTTGCATGAGATAGTAATATGTCTTGCCTAGTGCCTTCAGCAATATATTTCAGTGTGATAGCACTATAAAGACATTATATTTCAGTATAATAGCACTCTAAAGGTTTCATCCTAACACAGAGGCTTATTAAATGACATTGATGTCTTTCACAAGCACTCGTTCTCACCACACACATTCATCGTGCATGCATGTGGTGTCTGTCCTTAAATGACCATAGCTGATAATAGGAATATTAAACTAAATGGAATACCTTGTTTGATACCAAGATTTGAAGTACAAAATTTATTTTATCCCTGCACTCTACCTGTTTTTGAAGTTGATGTTTAATTCATATCTTACCTGTAGGCTCCACCAGCAGAGAACAAAGCAGGAGAGGAAATTAAAGGAGAGGATTCAAGGGATGACTTCAGTGATGAATTCAGCGATGACATACTCTTGGTATAAATATTTCTACTCTTCACAAGAAACCAATACCAGGGCTCTCACACCCCATTTTGGGACTGGGACCCGTGGCCCTTAGAATTGGGAAAAATAGCGAAGTTTTCCTTAGAATTGGGAAAACTTGAGGTCTAAATTGGGGAAAAAAGATACTATTTTGCATTGGGAATGGGGCCAAATATCGGCCCCAAATCTGGCAGATCGAGAGCCCTGAATACAGATTGTTGGAAATACTTTACATCATATACCATAACATGTGACACGCATTGTGATTTGTTCAAAATAAATCAGAGAAAGAATGCCTTGTATTCTGTTTAACTCTGAAATCTATCATTTATTATACCCTTACCTAACCTATGATGTATTGGGTAAGGAGGAGTGGGGAAATAGATGTATTACAATTCATACCATGGTATCACACCATGAAGTCCTAGACCTGATTAGATTGTGGTGGTCATTGGTCAAAGTTAAAGTCACACTTGACCACTTTTGAGATAAATTTCTTGTGTACGAGCTCTCTCTTGAAGCCCTTGACAGATTTAGGTAAGCATTGTGTAATTAAAATTATAAATACTTAACACTTCACCACTTTTGAAGTAAATTGCGAAAAATGAAGTCCTTGACAGATTTATGGATGCACTGTTTGATTAAAAAATATATATATATTGATTTAGCAGCAACTGGATGAAGCAGAAAAAAGTCTGGTACTTGAGAGTTCTAGCAGTGACATGAGTGGACATGCTGACCAAGTTGAGGAAAAGGATGGTCTGTAATAGCTAAGATAACATGACAAGATTTTATCATTTCTTCGACAGTAATTTGAATTTCAGCTCCAGCATTTACATTCAATGCTTATGATTTTTCTTACCTGAAATTGATGAAAATGTTTATATGGGTTCAGTTCATCTAGTTAAGAGGGAAGCTTTTCATATCTAGAAAACTATAAGTTTGACATTCCTTATTTTATAAGGAGAGGAGGGTTTAAAAGTTGTCTTCAATTAAAGGGTCAAAGGTCACATTTGACAATGTCTTAATTCATCAAAACAAAACACTCTCATGTTCAGGAGTAGGGATATTCATGATGATAAAAGACCTTTTTTTTATACAGATTTGGAAAATCAACCCAGTGAGAGGAAATATTTGTCAACTTTGAAACAGTACTTTGGTTATTCCAAGTTCAGACCGTAAGTGGTGGTTTAAGTAAGATTACTTATGAAAACACATTGTTATCATCCAATATTTAATGATCAGGTAGATTTATGAAGGTAGACAGAGTATGTCTTTGGAAACTTCTTCATTCACTGTTAAATCTTCTGAATATCATGCATGGACAAATATTTAAACATTAGTTTTGTGCAAAGTAGGTACCTGTTTGTGAGTTGAGTATGTAGTTCTGTGGTCAGTCTATTGCAGTTTGATTAAGTTGTATGAACTTATGGTAAATATGTAAATTGAAAACTTTTTGTCAGTCCTGATTGGATGTTGCATATACTGTTATACATGGATCTAAGTGTAAATCCAACGTCATTACTTTCAGTGGGGGTCAGGTTGGCTCCAGATGTTTCATTCGTTGTGTGCAATCTACCTTTTGTAAACTTTCCATTTAAATGACTTCTTCTCAATAGACAAAATGTCCAGGATTATTATATTTAGCATGTAGAATGATGGGATAAAGAAATACCAGGTTAATTAAAATGAATGACCTGTACACGCTTTTGAGGTCGCAGGGGTCAAATGTTTTGAAATATTTAAACAACTTCACAATAACTACAAGGCCCAGTGGGCTGATATTGGGCCTGTAGCATGATGGGATGAGGGCTACCAAGTTAAAATAAACGACCTTGACCCACTTTCACAGTCACAAGGGAAAATGTGTCAAAATCTTTTAACAAGTTCTTCTCAATAATCAAAAGGCCAAGGGTGCTGATGTTAGGCTGAAATATGCTTTGATGAAGGGCTACCATGTGTGTTCATATTATTGACCTAGGCCAACTTTCAAAGGCACAGGTGTCAAATATGTCAAAACCTTCTGATGACTTCTTCTTAATAATAAAAAGTTCCAGGCTGTTGATATTGGTTCTTTAATATAATTGAATGAAGAGCTACCAAATTTATTCAAATGATTGACCTTGACCTACTTTCAAAGTCTCTTGGGTCAAATGAGTTGAGATCTTAAAATTTCTTTTACAACAAATAATCAGTCCAAAGTCATGGTATCTCTGCAGTGGCATGGATAGGGAATAGGATTTCAAGTATGCAGAAAATGGTTTTTATTAACCAACAATGTCTTTGTTAGCTGTAGAGTAGTTGAGCATTGTAGGTCTATTTGGCTTCTTTTATATATCGGTCTTTATAGTCTGATGACTATAAAGGTTCATTGGCCTCTTGTACTTTATTATGAGATGGCAACCAGTTTTTGCCCAAACTAGGGGCTTCTTCATGATGATCGATACATGTGTTTTGCAGCAAGCAGTGGAAGATTATTGAAGCAGTGCTCAATGACCGCCGTGACACTTGTGTCATCATGGCCACAGGTAACTAATTAAAAATTCTTATTGAAAACCTTGCACTCTCTTAAGTTTGATAATCATCTAATTCCGCAAATATCTTATGAAGATGCTGTGACCTGAATGGCTGATTGCTGTGCACAGAAAATCTTCTGAAGTAATCATAAGAGACCTTTTAAAGACTATAAACATATCTCTTACCAATTTGGAAATTTAGATGTCACAAAATCATGGACGAAGAATAAGAATAATGACAAGAAACAGAACAACAACAAAAGGTCTTTTCACAAGTTGGTAAAAAGCAATAGTAAACCTATGATAGATTATCTCCAAAATGTTTTTAGAATTCTAATGTTCAAAGTGATGTTGGACTATCGCTGGATATGATTTGTTTTACTGATAGTAGCTTTCTTGTAGTTTTCTGTTGATTTATTAGATGTTGTATTGTATTTTATTAATGTGTATAAACCACTTTACTGTTTTGTCATACTAGAGTAGTAATAGACTAAATCAGAGTGGTAATAGAATCATTGATTCGTCCAGCATCACTGAGATTAAGTGACAAATATTCTATCATTACCATTTGGTAAAAGAAGGGAATATAAAGGTATGATAAGCTGATTTTAATATTAGATATCCTTTACAGTGTTGTGCTACTACATTGTTATTATATTGAGCATTTCATGTGTTATGTGTTATATTTACACAGGACACGGTAAAAGTTTAATTAACAGTAAATATGTGTTATATTTACACAGAACATGGTAAAAGTTTAATTAACAATAATTATGTGTTATATTTACACAGGACACGGTAAAAGTTTAATTAACAGTAAATATGTGTGATATTTACACAGGACACGGTAAAAGTTTAATTGACAATAATTATGAGTTATATTTGCACAGGACACGGTAAAAGTTTAATTAACAATAATTATGTGTTATATTTGCACAGGACACGGTAAAAGTTTAATTAACAGTAAATATGTGTTATATTTACACAGAACACGGTAAAAGTTTAATTAACAATAATTATGTGTTATATTTACACAGGACACGGTAAAAGTTTAATTAACAGTAAATATGTGTGATATTTACACAGGACACGGTAAAAGTTTAATTGACAATAATTATGAGTTATATTTGCACAGGACACGGTAAAAGTTTAATTAACAGTAAATATGTGTGATATTTACACAGGACACGGTAAAAGTTTAATTGACAATAATTATGAGTTATATTTGCACAGGACACGGTAAAAGTTTAATTAACAATAAATATGTGTTATATTTACAAAGGACACGGTAAAAGTTTAATTGACAATAATTATGAGTTATATTTGCACAGGACACGGTAAAAGTTTAATTAACAGTAAATATGTGTTATATTTACACAGGACACGGTAAAAGTTTAATTAACAATAAATATGTGTTATATTTACAAAGGACACGGTAAAAGTTTAATTGACAATAATTATGAGTTATATTTGCACAGGACACGGTAAAAGTTTAATTAACAGTAAATATGTGTTATATTTACACAGGACACGGTAAATGTTTAATTAACAGTAAATATGTGTTATATTTACACAGGACACGGTAAAAGTTTAATTAACAGTAAATATGTGTTATATTTACACAGAACACGGTAAAAGTTTAATTAACAATAATTATGTGTTATATTTACACAGGACACGGTAAAAGTTTAATTAACAGTAAATATGTGTGATATTTACACAGGACACGGTAAAAGTTTAATTGACAATAATTATGAGTTATATTTGCACAGGACACGGTAAAAGTTTAATTAACAATAATTATGTGTTATATTTGCACAGGACACGGTAAAAGTTTAATTAACAGTAAATATGTGTTATATTTACACAGAACACGGTAAAAGTTTAATTAACAATAATTATGTGTTATATTTACACAGGACACGGTAAAAGTTTAATTAACAGTAAATATGTGTGATATTTACACAGGACACGGTAAAAGTTTAATTGACAATAATTATGAGTTATATTTGCACAGGACACGGTAAAAGTTTAATTAACAATAATTATGAGTTATATTTACACAGGACACGGTAAAAGTTTAATTAACAGTAAATATGTGTTATATTTACACAGGACACGGTAAAAGTTAATTGACAATAATTATGAGTTATATTTGCACAGGACACGGTAAAAGTTTAATTAACAATAAATATGTGTTATATTTACAAAGGACACGGTAAAAGTTTAATTGACAATAATTATGAGTTATATTTGCACAGGACACGGTAAAAGTTTAATTAACAGTAAATATGTGTTATATTTACACAGGACACGGTAAATGTTTAATTAACAGTAAATATGTGTTATATTTACACAGGACACGGTAAAAGTTTAATTAACAGTAAATATGTGTTATATTTACACAGGACACGGTAAATGTTTAATTAACAGTAAATATGTGTGATATTTACACAGGACACGGTAAATGTTTAATTAACAGTAAATATGTGTGATATTTACACAGGACACGGTAAAAGTTTAATTAACAGTAAATATGTGTGATATTTACACAGGACACGGTAAAAGTTTATGCTACCAGTATCCACCCCTGTTTACTGGTAAAACAGCTGTAGTTATTTCTCCACTCATCTCATTGATGCAAGACCAAGTATTGGGACTGAAGTAAGTTATATATATAATTGTCAAACTTAATTTATTTTACAACAACGAGAGGGGGAAAAGTTTTCCAACCTTTATGAATCACTAGGTAATCATTGAATTCAGCCATTTGAAGTTTACACAAACCACACAACACCCCGCCCCGCCCCCCCTCTTTTTTTTTTCTTTTAGAAAACAATTTAAACTGCTTTATACCAGTCCATTTATCATTGTACAATAAGATTCTCAGAAAAAACCTTTCAGTAATAACGAGGATTAATGTAACCAATAAATGCTGTGAATAACTTTATCACCATATAGATGTTATTTATACATTCTAGAGCGGCCAACATTGAAGCGTGTTTCCTTGGATCAGCCCAACAGAACATGACACAGATCAAGCATGAAATGATGAGGTATTTTACAAAATCCCCTATTCATACTAAATACCATATTTTCATTACCCAATACCTATCAACAGTAATATTTTGCCATGTCTAATGTTTAGGTCACCTGAGACAAAGTCTGGTGGTGATCTATTGTGAATGCCTTTTGTCCGGTGTCATGCATCCACTAACTTTAAACATTTTCAATCTTTTCAAAAACCCATGAACTGATTTCAATGTAATTTCTCAGCTGTTGCTTTGTCAGCTCATATATTGATTTGAATTATGAAACCTGGTGTATACATTCATGGCATGCAACTGCTCAGTTATGCAGTTATTTCCCTTTGTTGAAATTTTGTGACTGGAGCATAACTTTGCTTGCATTTAAACTAGGATGTTGAAACTTGGTGTATAAATTGATTATATTAAGACACTGTGCGTTGTACTGATGTCAGGCCCTGCAACCCCTGCATAGCTTTGAATTGCGTGCATTTAAGCTAGAATACTGAATCTTGGTGTATACATCGGTCATATAGAGATGATGTGCAGTGTGCCATTGTCAGGGCCAGCAACCCGACAATTACAGAGTTATTGCCCTTTGTTGATATTTTTGTGTCCAAAGCATAAATTTGCTTTCATTTAAATAAGGATAATGAAACTAGGTATATACATTGGTCATTCTGAGAGCATGTGTAGTGTATCAAAATTAGGGCCCCAAACCCCTTAATAGCAAAAAATGGCCCTTTGCTAAAATGTTTTGCACTGTGCATAGATTTGCTTTTATTTAACCAAGGATGATGAAATATTTTGTAAAAATTGGTCATACTAAGAGGATGTGCAGTGTACCTAATTCAGGACCCCTTACTAACTGAATTATTGCTCTTTATTGAAATTTTATGTCCAATATAGTCGTTTTCATTGAGTATTCATCAGTTTCAGTGATACTCTTGTTAAGATATGCAATATCGATAACATTTGGGTCAAAATAAAGAAGATAACTAACTAGTGAAAAGTTTGTCTGATATCTCATAATAACATTGGTTGTCATATTGCATTGGGATTAAGTTCATTGAACGCAGTATGTTACATGTAAAACTTTATTGTATGGAACATGCAAGTCTGTAAGCTCAGGAAAATAGGCCCATATAAAAAGTCATTTTAAATAGTCTAAAAGTTTGTCAGATATTTTGTAAAGCCAAACATACCAATAACTTTTTAATCTGATGTTTGTCTTTACTGTATAGGGGAAAGTATCGTCTGGTGTACATCACCCCAGAATTTGCTAGTGCTGCAACAGATATCTTGCACAATCTTGACAAGAGTGTTGGTAAGTTTTATATAGTTTGTAATTCATCTACACTTGGTTACCCGTCCGTAAGTATTTAATAATGGGGAATTTAATCATCAGACATCTCTTTCATTTACCATTGACTAAAGATATACTTGTCAAAAATGAGTAGGTGGTAATGTTGAGTTTTAGTGTCAACGCTTATGCCATGTGGCGAATACTGAAACATTCTGGATGCACTGTTAAATTATATCATAATTACTGTACTGAAACAAAGGGAAGTAACTCTGGTCATGCAAATGAAATGTAATGAAATAATACATTCATGTAGGCAAGTGTTTGATAATCCTTGATTTCAGCTTATAAAGTTTGGATTAATAGGTGTGTAATCAGTTTTCATGTGTACGGCAAATATCCTTTTTGTAAGATGTCTTTTATGAATTCATTGCGGCTAGACTTTCAGCTGACTCTTGACATTTGACATTTTCAGATGTCAAGTCACAAAGCTAAAGAGGCAAAAAATATGTGAAATATACATATCCTTGAAACCCAAGAGACAAAACTCTTTTTAAGGAGTCAAAAACTACTTTGAAGAGTCTACTGAATGCCCGGCTTAAGTGTTTGGATATTTTGGATAATGGGCTCATTTTAATTCTGAATTTGTTTGAAGTTATTTTCTAATGGCACTCTTGAGTACAATCTGCTCCCCACTGATATTTTATCAATGTTTCTAGAGTAAAGGTATCTTCCTATAATATAATCAGCCTTTGTTATCAGACGATAACTACATTTAACATCTTCCTGCAGGTATTGATCTGATTGCCATTGATGAAGCCCATTGTGTTAGTCAATGGGGGCACGACTTTCGCTCAGCTTATCGGTCGTTAGGTAAATTACGGAGCGCCTTCCCAAACGTAAGTTGGTTTTGTTTGGTTTCACTAAGCGAGACTTTCTGTTTGCTTACCAATGCCAAGTGATTACATTACTTCTTCCTAGAAGTAAATTGGATTTTGTTTTAATGGGTTTTTATAGTCAAGGTCATTAACAGTCAAGGTCATTAACAGCCAAGGTCAGTAACAATCAAGATCATTGACAACCAGGGTCAATTGGAAAATCACACTATTTATGTTTTATTTATTGGAGTCTACTATGACCTGCATGAAGGCTGCATAACTAAGTTACCTTTCAAAAATAGGACACAATAGAACACTGTATTAGAAAATTCATGCATTGGATAGGAAGTCTGAAATGAGTGTTAAAGGACATTTCTAAATTTTGTAAGTTTATCAAGCAATGTCAAAACAATGAGGGCTACTTTAGTGAAACATCCCTCCTACTCCAGTACTCAAGGTTTTGTTCAGGGATACCGCCAACAGAATTTAGTTGATGATTAGCTCGGAGGTAATGGGCAGGAAGCTAAATCAAACTGTCAAGTAGGTTTATAAGGGAGTTATGTGGTCAAGTTGAGGATTAAGTGGAAGTGATTAAAAGTTGTCATTTGATATTTAACCCATCTTTTATCAGGTACCTATCATGGCATTGACAGCAACAGCCACACCTGAGGTGAAACGGGATATCTGTAAAAGTCTCCACCTGAAAAACCCACTGATAGTCTGTACAGGATTTGACAGGCAAGTATATTTTCCTAAACCCACTTGTAGTCTATACAGGCTTCGACAAGCTTATACAAACTTCAAAACCCACTCATAGTCTGTACAGGATTTGACAGCAAGTATATTTTTCTAAACCTGTATGTAGTCTATATAGGATTTAACAAGCAAGTACATTTTCCTAAACCTATATAGAGTCTGTATAGGATTTAACAGGCAGGTACATCTTCCTAAACCTATATAGAGTCTGTATAGGATTTAACAGGCAAGTACATTTTCCTAAACCTGTATAGAGTCTATATAGGATTTAACAGGCAAGTACATTTTCCTAAACCAACTTGTTGTCTATACAGGCTTCGACAAGTAAATACATTCTCCAAAACCCACTCATAGTCTGTACAGGATTTGACAGCAAGTATATTTTTCTAAACATGTATGTAGTCTGTATAGGATTTAACAGGCAAGAACATCTTCCTAAACCTGTATAGAGTCTGTATAGGATTTTACAGGCTAGTACATCTTCCTAAACCTGTATAGGATGCCCTCATAATGTATACAAATATTGATAAATAATCTTTAAAGGAAAAATTGTCTATTTTAGACCAAACTTATACTTGGCTGTGAGTTCAAAGACTTCCCTGATTGAGGATATTCGTTCCCAGATGACGAAGAAGGGTTCTCGTTATGAGTTTGATGGACCTACCATCATTTACTGTCCTACTAAGAAAACTACCATGGAGGTAGCTGGCTGTTTGTCAGGTTTGTACATGTCGTAGGGTCCTAACACCAACTATTACTGATTTAAGATTATAGGAGGGCCAGTAATGGTCATTCGACAATCGATCGATGGATAGACAGACAGCAGAATTTGCTAATAGTGATATAACAAATCTTATTAAGTCAACATTCCTTGAAAGCATCAAAAACTCCCAAATAGTAGTTTGTGTTCATGAAAAATAGTTATGCAGTCAAGTTACGAAATGGCTACTGTGGTTACCATGTTCAAATTTTTGATCAGGCTATAAAGTATCAACTTATCATCTATTTCTTCACCGTGACACATCATTTGTACAAACTATGATACCTCTTTCCCAAAGGATGCTTCTGACTTTCAGCATTGTGGGGTTTACAAACCAACATTGCTGAATGATATTTATAATCAATGAAGTAGTAACAAAAATATGGACATGTAAATTGTTAAATTTATGAGGCAATCTAGAAATTTATCTGGACACACAATATTGCAAAAGTTACATCCCATACATTGATCATATACATGTAGATTTTGATTTGAAAAATATTTCTTACACTTTTTGCAAGTTGAAAATGCCATTTTGAATAATCAAGGTTGATAAGCTCATCACAACAGGTCTTAATGGTTCGATTGATGAACTGTATAACCATTAAAATACATTTTTTGTAAAATAAAAATGTTAAGAGTCTGACAAAAATAAAGATTGTACTATAATTTGAATGTCTTTCCTTTTAATGATACACATTTGGTTTGTTTTTACAGCCATGCAAGTCTCATGTCTACCATATCACGCCGGTCTCACAGCAAAATCTAGGGATGATGCCCACCATAAGTTCGTCAATGATCAAATACAGGTATTCTACCAATTGAAATTCTCAAGAGTGGAAAATGTTCAAGGTTAGACAGGGCTAAAATTCTTCAGGAACCGGAAGTAACTAGGATTGAAGACAATACGATGGATTAGTTTATACTATGTTTCTTTCCAAACATCAGCCTTGTAAAATATCTGGAATTAAATACAGTTTGACTGTCAATTTAGGAGTCAAAACGTAGTAATATATAGTAAAAATATTTTACAGAATGTCTTTGTACATGACATCAAGATATTTGAGGGGATGACAAGATAAACAGTCTGTGACAGTTTCAGTCAATTATTTGATTGAGGAATTTTAGACACTGTATCTCTACATACCTTAGTATATAAAAGTATCAGTATTTCACGAGAATTGTGGCATGAGAAATAAAACTACATGTTGTACCCAGGTGTATAGAAAGTTCCCATTCAAAATACACAAAGATTTTCCAATTTATACCGTATTTTCTGGATTATAAGCCACACTTTTTTTACTCATGAGTCTGGCATGTGGCTTACTGGTATACACTGCGGTTTATATGTGGATGAAAAAAAATCAGCAGGATTTTAAAAAACAAATGTGTACCAGTACACCAGTTTTACAAGTACCTGCCCATCATGTGTTTGTGACTTCAACAGATCACCTTGGACTGTCATTTGCAATCATATGCAGGATGATTCAAAGTTTGAAATAGAAATAACTTTCTCTTGGATTTAATTAATCATACCTTTTAATATGAATCACAATATCTTCTGGACTTTCCCGCTTCCTTTAAGTCAAAGGTGAAGTTGACAGTAGCCTTTTACATCCTGGAATCTATAGGTCATCGGGTTGTAGGTCAAATTCTAGAATGACCACCATGCTTGTTTACAATATCTGTGTATAATTGCCCTCCATTGTCTGTTATATCAACAGACTTTGGTCAGCATAATGGTTACCCCTCCATTAGAAAGGTATGGCTTATATTCCAGTGTTGCTAATATGTGAATCAAATCGAAAAAATCATTTCTGCAGCTTATGCATAGCTACGGCTTATAAACCTGAGAATATGGTACTGATATGTTACTAATATATTGCTATGGAACTTTCTGGCACATTCAGTTTTTGCTTCTAGGTTGTAGTTGCCACAGTAGCATTTGGTATGGGAATCGACAAGCCAGATGTCCGAAGGGTCATTCATTATGGAGGTAAGTTGATACTGTAAATGAAACTGAATCACACAAGATTATACTTGATCATACTATAAATCTAGACATTGTATGGAAATTTATCATTCTTTTATTTCCTAACTTGTATTTTTATCAAGTTGTGTTATCTTCTATATTAGTATGTCATGTATTAACTTTATCTAAATATTTTCCTGTGAAATATGTTTGAGAAGGATATTAAATTAAGCTCCATCCATACATCCGTTTGTCCTGGGGCTTTGCCAGGCCACAATTTGAAACCATTCAGTAGATTACGTTGAATCTTTGTATGCACATCAACCTAATACCGGAGTTGTGCCTTTTGGTTTTGGGAAGGTTTCGTTATTTGATATTTTCTCCTGTTACCATGGAAACAGTATCAGAAATGCAAATTTACAATTTGCGTGCTTTTTCTGGACCTTAACTTGAAACTGTTCAGCCAATCTCTAAACACATTTAACATCAACAATGAACGACACAGAGAATCTAAATGTTAACTTACTTTAAGGAAGATACATAATTCTCTTTGGATGTTCACACTAACAGACAGGTAGCTCCTGGAAGTCATGGTTGTCTAAGAAACTCTAGATTCTTTTGTTGGTAGTGACACAGTACTTTGTATCAAAGTCACAGAGATATTTCTAAAACCAGAAAGATATTAAGGTACTAATCTGTATTGTAGTAGAAGTCTGATTGTCAGTAGTATTCTTGGAATACATATATTGATTAAAATTGAAGTACAAGAATGATTCATTGTGTCATTCAGATGTTACATATTGACATATAAAAATATATATATATATATTATAATAAGGGGCAACTTATGGTACAGTGTGTAATGTAGTGTAAAGCTAAATTAAGAGGTTGTATTGTCAGATTGGTAGAATTCAGTAATGGAGTAATCCACAGCCTTTGGGTGTTAACAGATCGCTGTTGAGTCGAAATTCTAGGACCTGTTCCCATTATCGTGATTTTTGTGTTAGTCCTCAGCTGACAGAGATGCAGGTTGTTGAAAAATATGGGGAAGTTTTACGGTCATCATGGTGATCTCAACAAGAAATATTCTATTTCTTTGTGAGTCAACATTACCTGCTTTGCTTGACCAAGTTGCTTGACGACCAGGTGTAGTCGATGAAGTAGAAGATGCTTACTGTTCGTGAACGCCTGGTCTTATTCTCCTTGGATTCTTTCAGGAGTTTCCGTTCAAATCTTTCTTTTGTTAATCTTTTGCCCTGGTTTTTGTGTCCCCTGCAGAGCTGGCGGACACTAAGGGATCACTTCATCATGGGCGTCGTCGTCTTCCATACGAAAGCTTTCCAGACTTTTTTTGGTAATGGTTTGAGTTATCAGAAATTTTTGCATATGGCTTTTTGTTGCAAGGGTACAGATTAAGGCCGTTTTTGGCAGAGTTATGCCCGTTTCAACTAAGAAAATTTCATAGGAATATTGTTTTCCGTACGTCTTTGGCTTGTGCTTTGAGTTATCGAAATGAAATTTGGTATATAGTTTCTTGTTGCAAGGGTTCAGATTAAGTTTGATTTCCTACTGTCTGTGACCCTTCTTGACAGAGTTATGCCCCTTCAAACTTAGAAAATTCTCAGGGAATATTGTTTTCTTGACTTTCTTTGGTTATGCTTAAAGTTATAGAAATGCAATTTGGTATTACAACTTTATGGTTGATCGTTGCACATCCAGTTCAATTTCTGGGTGACCGTGACACTTTATGCAGGCGACACATACAGTTCTGAGGAACTCTGGTATTGAATTTGAGTTTGGATTGCGATTATTATGACATGTTGGTATTTTCTTGGTTTTTTATTTTTCCTGCATTTTCTTAGCTCCCAAGGATATAGAGTCCTATTATCAAGAAGTGGGTCGGGCAGGCAGGGATGGAATTCCAAGCAGGTGTCATGTCTTCTTTTCAAACGGTGACTTTAACACTGCCAGGTATGTATCATTTGTCAACAATCTGTAATTACATAATTAGAAGTTTGAGGGATTGACTGACAGATTGCTTGGTTTTATGATGCATTCAGAATGATTTGTGTACTAAGTTGGTCTCACATTTTTCAGGCATTTCATTAATGAAATTAGAAATACTGGATTTAAAGAACACAAAATGAAGATGCTTAAAAAAATGCAGCAATACCTGGCCATTGTTGGAAAGTGTCGTCGAAGGTATGTCTTAGATGTGTGGTAGAACCTCCCCAGTCAACAGTGGGTATTGACTGTTGTAAGTAAATTTAGAGACTGGTATGATATACATACATATATATATATATATATATATATGTACTCAGAATGTACAAAATCAACATACCAGTTAAAGTATACAGTGAGGTGTCTTTAACATACCTTAAAACTGACTATCGGGCTTTGTTTTACCAGGACAGGATGGGGGGAGGGATGTTAGAAGCTTGTCTGTTGTCTGAAGCTTACTTGAGTGAAGGGGAATAAAATTGGTAAAAATGGTGGATCTCAGCCAGGGACAGAACCAAATAGTGGAAATATTCTGAAGTCCGTCTTTAGTGGGAATGCCTTGCTTCTGTCCTAATTTGGTCTGAAGCATACCTACTTGAAAGTAACCTAACGTGGTATCAACTAGGAGTTTGGCATCAGTTCTAAAGTTCTAAAAAAAATCCTTCTTCCGCACAAATATATTGTCCAAGTTTGGTTTGAAACAATTTTGATGAATGGTGAGTCTGACTTCTGTTTGACCACAAGAACATTACCCAGTAGCAAAATTATTTCAAAAATTATTTATCATATTTGAAATTCTTTATTAAATTACTGAATTAGTCAGGCAAGCAACACAGGTCCCTTGGGCCTTTGGTTTTCAAAATCTGCTGGTTGACTGGAATTGTAATTTTCAAATTTCATGAAAAACTGAGGATTTTTTGTTTAATATTTTTATTTCATTTGAACTTTTCAGGTTGTTATTGGGTCATTTTGAAAACCGAGACTTGACTGACATTGGTGGAACTGCAAATTGCTGCGACAATTGTCGTAAAAAGTATGTACTGGTAGATACAATAAGATTTCTGATCAAAGCAGACTCGTTATGTCATAGTACAGCCTGATACTCTGACTTTAATGTCATATACCTTCTTAATCGCATGGAGTGTGCCACAGCGAAATTAAGGACTCAGTATTCTTCAACTTAATTGGAAATTATCAGAAATATGGAAATAACAAAATTCATTGAATTATGGAATTCAACATTTCTTTTGTTTCTCTTTTGATGTTCGTTAGTTGCCTTATAAATTTCAAAATTGAAGCCTTTAGCATCACTAGCTAGTTGTAGAAGGCTGAAACAGTCGTATGATGCAGTTTAATTCGTTATTTGGCTCTACTGTGTCTCACTCTTTAATTTGTATTAAAAGATGATATTCATTTGTCTGTCTTGTGTTTTCTTTAAGGAAATCAATTTGATCCTGGTTGCAAAATTTGATCAGTTGCCACAGTCAACAAACAAAGATCAGAATAGTTTGTTCTTTCTGTCCAAGTGTTAGTTACAGTATGGGTAGCTTTTTCTTCAGCTCACAGATGCACAGGCCTCTTTGTATAATGTATACACAAGATATTGTATGTCACAAAGCTGTTGTGTTAAATATACTCTTATATCTAATGAGTAAGCAAAAATATTCATTTAAGAAAAGTTCACATTTTAAAAATACTATGCATACTTTTCCATGTTTTTTAAAGACTTGGTTCTGATTTCAGGATTGAGATGAGCCAAAAGCAGAATTACTATGACTCCAAGAACTGGTCGATGGCTGACAGTCTGGTGTCGGACGAGGAACGAGAATATGGGAAGGAGGCCAGGAATTTATTCTCAGCCATTGACGTTAGTACATGTCAGAGATTTGTATGCTTTTATTGGTTGTTGTAGTCACTGAAACCATATAAATCCTGGTTAGGTAAAGAATTTTTACAGTTATCAAAGGACATTTCTTTAACATGAAACCTTATTTTTTTTTATGAAATTCATGATTTGTTCTTATTTCAGATCTCCAGGGGAAAAGTACAGTATATGTTAGCATACAATAATTTTTTCCAAAGGAAAAATTTTTAGGGTCCTCCCATTCAGTTTTTCTTTTCAAAAGTTGTAGAAATTCCATGATGTCAATCTGGTTTTACTTAAATTTGAGAAATGCTTGATTAAAAAATATTCAATGTCTTTGTAAAATCACATTGTAGAATTTAAATATAAATCACAAATCACAAATAGAGCCAGTATTTAAGTAAGCTTTTTAAATGTTTTATGTTTAGATTCTTGGCAACAGATACGGACTGATGGCCCCTATTAAGTTTTTAACAGGATCTGTTGACAAAAAAGTGCAACGTTTTTCCACTCATGAAGACTTTGGATGTGGAAAGTAAGACATTTCTGTGTAATTCTGTCCTAACTAAAGAAAAAAAGTTTCCTGGTAAATTTTAGACATTATACAATGGTTTTGTGCACCAGTTGATGGCCCTAATGACCTTTTACGTGTTTATGGGCCGTTAAGACTGTGATAATGATAATAATAATTGTCTATATCAAAATAATTCATTATTTGTTCTGCCCAATTTTAATAGCACTTGGCGATAAAATGCAAAAAAAAAAAATAATAATAAAAAGTTCTTCAGTTTATTTTTTGGGAAAATGATGAAAAAGAAAAATTATCTTAAATTGTCAATAAAACAAGGCTGAACAATCACTTAATACTCACTCTCTGTATGTTTCTTGACTTTTAAGAAATTTGTTTATGTCCCATGCCATTTAAAGGAGAGGGGAATGTAAGGCTACCAATGTCTATCATGTCATGTTCAGTACCATTCTTAATGTCAAATCTTAAAAACCTCTCTACAGATTCGGTTCATATTTATCCCAAAGTATCACAACACCAAGTTTTACGTCTTATCAGATTCTGGTTTGCTTAGGAAAGAAGACATTTTTGTCTTACAGACATACTTATTTCTGAATGATTACGAGAGGGAAGGCTAGCATAGCAGTAATAACAGGTAGTCATCAATGTATTTATACTAATTGTTTTGGCGATGTGATGGATATTAGAAAATATAACTACACCCTTGATTTTCAGGTATAGGAAGGTCAGATGGTGGAATGCTTTTGGTAAGTGAGTTGAAGTGAAAAGAGAAATGAAATTGCATCAGAGTGATATAGGACCTAGAATATGTATATAGACATACTGACATCTTCTGTTATGATCAATTAGACTTTAAACGCCCTCTAAGAAACCAGGAAATTGAATGATACCCATGTTCTTTTTTGTTATAAATTTCAATTTTTGTGGTTTTTCTTCCTATTTTGTGGACATTGGCATTGATCGCATAAATTTGGCTCTACTCATGCTAATTCTTATTTTCAGGGGCATAAATTTGTGGATTAAGATCTCCCACAAAAATTAATGATTCTACAGTATGTTTTTACTTCATTTTAAACTATGTGTATTCCAATATTTGTTTTTGTAAAAATTTCATGAATGTATTTGACAGTTTGCACTACACATATACCATTAACCCCTTTATCATGATTCTGTGTATAACATGACAGGTAAGGCTTTAATCCTAGAGGGATATCTGATGGAGCGGCCTCTTGATTTTGGATTTGGGTCGGTCGTAGAAATATCTCAGAAAGGCAGAAATTGGCTGACAAAGAATAGGAAAGTTACAGATGTGTCGCTCAAGATGACACCCAGTGCTGCTTTGGCTGCTGAAGAAAGACCTGCTATCAGCCTTTGTATTAAGTGAGTAAATATGATGTTGAAATATTTGTTACATTTTAGCAGATAAGTAGAAACCGCCTTTGTCTGATTAGTTGAGACTTAAAAGAAAGATTGCAATATCTGACACATCATTTTTTTCTTGAAGGATACAGTTATGAAACTGACTACAATATCTAGCAGGCCTAATCATAGTTCACACAATATTTGCAAAAATAGACTATCATATTTAACTGTAATACTTCCCTTCCCACAGGGAAAAAAGGGTTGATCAGAGGTAGAGAGGAGACTTGATATTTATGAGCATTGCATTTGTTCTGAAGAAATTTCTGCAACTTTTTATAAAATGATGTTAAAAAAAAGTTTATATAACTTTGGAATGTGAAGAAGTATGAGAGGATATGATTGGCTCTGACCTATATCTGCACATCTGTAAAATCTTTTAGACTCTGACCTAAATCTGCACATCTGTGAACTCTCTGAGGCTCTAACCTAAATCTGCACATTTGTAAACTATAAAAATAAATATTACATTTATACATCTAAGTTACATGATCTCCCATGATAAAAATTTTGCCGCTGTGACTTGTCAGATCATATGTTGATCTCAGCTCAACTTTCAATTTGTTTAGACCATCAATCCCAGTGGTGACAGCCTCAACTAGTTCAACTTCAAGTTCAAGGAAGGTCAGTCTTGACAAGTTTCAACATACACCCAAATCTTCACCTCAAATCAGACCAGTGGTGGATGAGGCAACACTTAAACTAAAAGCACAGATGGCAGCTTTACAGGTCAGTAGTGATGTTTGTGTATGAAGCCATTCACAAATTATGTTGAGGAAAATAACCTTTTCTTGATTTCTCCTCTCCGAATTATTTATTCAAAATGGGTACTGTTTCCAATTATCTTTCAAGATTTCAGCAATACGGCAAGTCCACAATGATTTAGTTTTTTCTTTAATTCTGTACCACCATTGTAAAATACCTGTAGGGAGTCACATATCGGGGTGCTAATTTGGTCATGAAAAAAAAGCCTGCTGTAGAACATTTCAGGGGCACTGATCAGAGTAATGATCTGTTTATAGATTGGAACACAGACACCGTAAACGTGAATGTGGTACAATAATCCTGACACATAAACCAGTGTAATTAACTCATTAGGTGTCTCAAAGTGATCCAATCATTGAACTCCAATATGCTAGCAATTGCTGCCAGGATTTCATGTATCAAACACTTACTGTAACTTTCAGGCACTTAATTATCGTAAGAGTTTCATACTGAACACAAAAACACTGAAAAAACAAAAAAAAAACAACCTGGTTTGTAAACATGTACTTTACACTGGCCTAAGAAGTGAAAAATAAAGGGAAATAACTTTGACCTGAAATTAACGATAGATTTATTAACACACTACAGCTGTGCTTTACGCATACATTAAGAATAAACCATAAGGTAAAAACTCATGTGTCATAAAAGAACATATGTTGACTATTAAATAAATATGCACAATCAATGTCTTATTTCACGGCTTTTTTGTACGATTTTGCTTTAATCACAAATTTTGTTAAAGAAAATAGTTTTATTGTGTTTCACTTATATATCTTACAATATTAGTCTCGTTTACATTTGTTAGCGGACTGAACTATGGAAAATCATTAGATTTAAAGTCAGGATTGAAGGTCTTTCACTGCTCATGCAATATTCACACTGCGACAATGCCAGGATACCAACACAGATACATTGCATTTTTAGGTTTTTCTACTGAAGCAAGAAGGCCGTGCATTAAAAATTTTCACTGGGCAATTAAACAAGCAAACAAACCACAGTACTTAGATATGACTAGACTTTTTTGGGGCTGACAGCTGGATATTTAAGTAACATCAATCAAGTAGTTTATTTGTTTGTTTGACAGAATGAACTGTACAAGGAGCTGTTAAAGAGGAGGAATGAAATGGCAGGCGAGACTGGATATGCTCCGTATTCTATTGCCAGCAATAAAGTTCTGCTTGACATGGCCAATATAAGGTCAGTCTTGATCTTCAAGTGGTCACTTTGAGATTGTCGTTGAATGATAAATGTAATAGCCTGGCTAAAATCTCAGGTATTCCTGATCATTCAGAATAAACATAGAAGTGTCACTTGGCCACTTGGTGTCAGATTTAAGAGGAGTTATTTCCCTTGTATTCCCAAGGTCTGCTATCAATCTTGCATTGAAAGTTATGATAGATATAGAATTACGTTCCTGAACTTTAAACTGTATCGCTTTGGAGCTTGTAACCAACTACTTCAACACTTTTGTGTCTTCGTCATTCTGACATACATTAATTAGTGGCCGGGAAATCATCATTCTGACATACATTAATTAGTGGCCGGGAAATCATCATTCTGACCTACATTAATTAGTGGCCGGGAAATCATCATTCTGACCTACATTAATTAGTGGCCAGGAAATCATTATTCTGACATACATTAATTAGTGGCCGGGAAATCATCATTCTGACCTACATTAATTAGTGGCCGGGAAATCATCATTCTGACCTACATTAATTAGTGGCCGGGAAATCATCATTCTGACCTACATTAATTAGTGGCCGGGAAATCATCATTCTGACCTACATTAATTAGTGGCCGGGAAATCATCGTTCTGACATACATTAATTAGTGGCCGGGAAATCATCGTTCTGACCTACATTAATTAGTGGCCGGGAAATCATCATTCTGACATACATTAATGAGTGGCCGGGAAATCATCATTCTGACATACATTAATGAGTGGCCGGGAAATCATCATTCTGACCTACATTAATTAGTGGCCGGGAAATCATCATTCTGACCTACATTAATGAGTGGCCAGGAAATCATCATTCTGACCTACATTAATGAGTGGCCAGGAAATCATCATTCTGACCTACATTAATTAGTGGCCGGGAAATCATCATTCTGACCTACATTAATTAGTGGCCGGGAAATCATCATTCTGACCTACATTAATTAGTGGCCGGGAAATCATCATTCTGACCTACATTAATTAGTGGCCAGGAAATCATCATTCTGACCTACATTAATGAGTGGCCAGGAAATCATCATTCTGACCTACATTAATTAGTGGCCGGGAAATCATCATTCTGACCTACATTAATGAGTGGCCAGGAAATCATCATTCTGACCTACATTAATGAGTGGCCGGGAAATCATCATTCTGACATACATTAATTAGTGGCCGGGAAATCATCATTCTGACATACATTAATTAGTGGCCAGGAATTAATCATTCTGAGTTTCATTAATTAGTGGCCGGGAAATCATCATTCTGACATACATTAATTAGTTACCAGGATATTACTTGCTACACTTGATGTTATGCCTTTGTACATTAACAAAAATGCTGAACATGCTTTCATTCAGCTTTAAATTTCTTTGAATTCATCTGATTATTTTCCTATACCCGTCTTGAATGTTTGTCTTTGCTTGTGATAAGGGGAGGTAATTTGTACAGAATATTCAAATGGCATTTCAATATTTTAATGTTTGTCTATGTTTGTGATAAGGGGAGGTAATTTGTACAAAATATTCAAATGGTATTTCATTATTTGTTTGTTTGTCTTTTTGTGATAAGGGGAGGTAGTTTCTACAGAATATTCAAATAACATTTCACTATTTGAATGTTTGTCTGTTTGCAATAAGGGGAGGTAATTTGTACAGAATTTTCACTATTTAAAAGTTTGGGAAATAAGTATTGATTCACAAATGCTCAAACATTCATTTCAACTTTAATGCTATCATGACTTTGAAATTTTACACCTTGTTAGATTTTGATGATCATTAAAGGATAACATTTTACCACTTTTGAGATTGGGTGGTTGGATCATATGCAAAACAATAATAAACAATATGTAACTTTTTTTCTGACAGAAAATAACAATCTCATACAACTAATTTAGGAAAATATACGAGATTGTGCTAAAACAATTAATATAAAAAGGAGACAAAATGAAAAATCAGACTTCAGTCTATCAATTCCCTTCCACCAAAAACATTTTATTTTGTTGTCCTACCTCTTTATTGTTGGCCTGTGATTTGTCAGTGGTGATTTATTGTGTCCTGCAGGCCAAGTACCAAAGATATGATGATGAAACTAGAGGATTTCCCACAGGCCAAAGTTCACAAGTTTGGAGACATGTTCATCACCATCCTCACCTCTTTCTGCATCAAACATTCAGAGTGTAAAATGGACAATTTTCCAGAGATAGATGTTGGAAAGGTTTGTTACGATTCCCATGGGCCTGAGAGAATTTTGCTGAAGTGTGTACAAAAAAATGATGATATTACTAAGATGAAATTGAAAAGAATATTAAAACTTTGAATTAATCTAAACGGCAGAATAATCCTTTCACATATTACTTTGTACCATGCAGTATTAGAGTATTATGGAAGTCAGTCCAGTAAGTTGTCCCAGCAGGAGTACATATTATCTTTGTTTATAAAGAGATAATGGAATAAGAAAGCAGCATTTTATCCCATGCTTAAAATTACCACACCCTTAAGTAAGTACATGTATTGAAATATCAAATTGAATTTGGCATAATTCTGGATTAGAAATTAGCAAAAAAAAAATTTAATTAAAGTTTTTGAATACTGTAAACTTACTTAGTTTTGTGCAACCAAACTTAAGCACATTTATCCCTTTTTATCAAATTTGTGCAATGATGAATTTGTGCTTACCGCTGAAATATATAGGTTTAAAGTAGCTGATAACTATGCATTTTATATGAAAACTCCAGTTTCTGTTTAAAGTTTGTGTTCTCTCATTTTTAGAAACATCATTACTTTTACAATTCTAACCATCAGGTTCGAAGTCAAACCTCCATGGTATTGTTGTTGTAGGTGTCCTCAAGTCTTGACATTTGTAAACTAACAGAAACTCAGCGGACATCCTACATCATGTACAATCAAGAAAAGATGGATGTGGTAAGTATAAAGCTCTTACAACTTTATCAATCACTTTTAAGCCATCCTTCATCAGGTGATGAGCTGTTCTAATCTCCTGTTGTTGTCCATTGCCAGTGGACTACGAAGTGGATCATTCTCAGATTTCATATATAGCCTCCCTTTGGTTCTTAGTTGTGCTCTGTCGAATTTGGAATTGATTAGGAAAACAATAAGACCAATTGGCAGCCATCTTGGATTTTGACTTTAAGTAAGCACAGAGAGTGCTTTATAGTACTGTGTGTGGAAATTCAAAGTGATTAAAAAAACAAATAAATTGTATGTGTTATCTGCTTTAAAGAGCTGATCGCTGGAACTTTTACTGTAGCTGGAACGAAAACTTTTGACCCATTGATTGGATAAAAAAGAATTTTGACCGACAAAATATTTTTTCTAACTTTCATGTGGAAATAAAAACATAATTTTAATTATGAAAATTTAACAAATACATACATTAAATGGTTTGAAATTCATGTTGCCAAATCGTTTTTGAAAAAAAAAAATTTTGAAATAAGAGCACATAATTATGTTTTCTAGTTTACCTAATTTCCAGTTTAAGGCTCAGAAATGTTTGTCACTTTCTGCAAACTAAGAATACATTTCTCCTTACACTAATGATGATTTCTTTGAAGCTGTTTGTATTTGGATGTACTTTGTTAGGTCAGCTGACCCAAAGGATCAATAGCCATCATGTTTCACCTGTCATTGTGGACTATCTGCCTTGCGCTGTGCATGAACTTTCCATTCAATCAACTTCTTCTTAATAACCAAAATGGGCCCAGGATGCTGATATTGGGCTTCTGTGATGACAGTCTTCCAAGTTAATTCAAATGAATGACCTTGACCATTTTTCAAGGTCACAGTGATATAAAATGTTTAAATCTTCTTCTCAATAGCCAAAAGGCCCAGGTCGCTGATGTTGAGCCTGTGGCATGCTGAGATGAAGGGCAACCAAATCAATTCTAATGATTGACCTTGACCTATTTATAAGGTCTTTGGGGTCAAATGTGTGAAGATCTTAAAATTTAGATATAGGTCCAGGGGCATGGTATTTATGTAGTAGTATGTATAAGGAAGAGGATTTCATGTTTATATGAATGGACAATGTCTTCTTAATAAGCTGTAGAGTAGTTTAGCAATTTAAATCTATTTGGTTCTGTCATATATAGGTCTCTGTATTCAGAAGACAGTTAAGGCCCATGTCTTAATAGATCTTCACAATCATATGAAGACTTCCCTTGGTCATTATTTGCACATGATTAGTTTTTGGACTGATCAAAAAACAAATGGTTAACAGTCGGCCATCTTGAATTTTTTTTTGTGTTTCTTGAGAAGTACTGCATGGATCATAAATTTGTTATTGCTGTTTCTTGAGGACAAGACATATATTACCGTGGTAATCTCAAGTCTTGGCTCCACTCCCCCAGCTTGGCCCCTTATTGTGGATGATCAATTTTGTTTTTAGTGAGAAAAAAATAAAAATAAAACAAAATCAAAAACAAAATGGCTGACTGTGCCTCTGAAAAGGATAAATAAGAAGCAAACAAGGGAAAACCAATGAAGGTCATACAATTATGGTCAATGAGATTCCACTGGAATTTCTTATAATATTTAGTCCCCCTGTATTATTTAGCATATGCAAATTACAGAAAAATCACTAGTCCTGAAGAATTCTTTCAACCAAGGATTTTACAATAGTAGCAAAATCACCAAAAAAAAAATGATAATCGTATAGCATACCAGAGCCAGTCAAATTAGATCTCCACAAACTTGTTTTAATACAAAAATAAAAAATTTTACATTCAGCAACTTTTTTTTATTTACTAGTGTGACTTTCATGTTTGATGCTTTGATTTGTAGGGAGAAATCGCATCCAGACGTTGTTTTAAAACCAACACGATTATATCTCATCTCTGCGAGGCAGTGAAAATTGGTCTGGAGGTTGACATTCAGAAGTTGGGAGTCAATTCTCGGATAGAGCAACTTGTCACAGAGGTTATAAGAGGTCCTTTAAAATCAGGTACAACTGTTCTTACAATGGTAATTTATATAGATAGGACAGGTTCTTCCGTGTTATGATTTCCACACAGAATACATCCTCTTTGTTTTAAAATCATGGTAAAGCCTAGAAAATTTGAACTGTTGTCAGTGCCTGATTAAACTTATTTTGACCCATTGCTGAGTGTGGGGGTTCCATTAATCATACAATATTTCAATATTTATTTTTCCAGACATCAGTTATTTGACGAAGATCAAAGACCTTTTGCCCGAATATATTGAATATAGTCACATCAAACTAGTTATTGCATCATTGTCATGGAAACACGGTCAGGAGGTGCTACCAACTGGGGAGCTGGTCATCTTAGGTGGTGCTGTAACATCCTCTCCACTGAAGGGCGCTTCAGTGTCATCAACAAACAGTGAGCCAGTCCCTTCATCAGAGGTGTGTATACCCTTTTTTAAGTTTGAAAATTTGTATCATCCAGTCTGTATGTATTGACGTTTTCCTTGATTTTAGGTATAATTCGTGAATTTATTTCAATTCAAACATGGAAAAATATGAAGGAAACAAGATCCAAAGTCAGGTCTGATAGATTCAGTAATATCATCAGTCTTCCAAGGATGGATTCCTGGTGGAATACAGGAGTCTGGTTCAAAGATGTGTAAATAGCATGTATATAGGACCAGACAACATCTGTAGGATGAATTGAAGCTTACTGCATACTAGGTATGCCATCCTCAGAACAAGGGATTCATACCTTGTTTGCCGAAATATGTCAACTATTCCAACATGAAAGTTTAATTTTATTAGTACCATCCAGTAATTTCCAATTTTCATGAAGGTTGTTAATTTTCAATGTTTGTCCTGGCTGTCAGTCTTTTGATGAACTATTTAACTGACTTATTGAATTTTTTATTCTTTGATTCAGTCAGTAGGTTCCCAGGATGCTTCTCAGCACTCTCAGAACATGGAGGGGGAATCATCGCAAACTACTGGAACGAAACGAAAACTGCCATCATGGATGTCGTCAAATAAACCAATGAGCAAAAAAATGAAGTCAAACCGTCTCTTTCGGTGATGGATGAGGGAATAAAAGGGGATGATGTTTTTATAAGATACTGTATCACATCGAGCATAATTGGATACTTGTGTGTAGTGTGAATTTAGAACATGTAACATGTGTGAGTGCTTTTATAAAAATTTGTATAATGTTGGTGTCAGTAAATACATATATAGGGGGAGGGGGGGGGAATGTGATGGACAGAAAAATTTGATTTCTAAAGCAGCACAGAGAAAATAAGCATTGTTTCAGAATTGATAATACTGTATACCTGGTTATTTTTGCCCTTGACCATTATACACTAATTCGCCCCGTGTTCATTTTGCCCTCTGGGATTATATAAAAAGAGATTTTGTCTTACACGTTCATGGACAAAAAAGGGCAAAAATTAAATTGAGACAAAAATTTTGTGGTGTACATTAATTGTCCTGTGTATTATTAGTGCTATAATATATACCTTCAAAGATTTATATCATGATAAATAAAGTTTATGATCAGATATTTAATAGGTAATTGTCAGGTTTCACAGTTATGTAAAGATTAAATACCTGTATATAAATGTTTAAAACCATGATATTAACCTTGAGAGGCATTTGTTATAGGACTACATATATATGATGATTTTAAAAATAAGTATAATTTAGACTCCTGACTAACAGGATATTTTAAAATGGACTAGATTACCGCAGTGATATGAAATATGAACATGACAGTGATAGATGAGGAAAAATATATACTGGAAATATAAACAGTACCTTATTCAATGTGATATTCATAAAAGTCAATGCAAATTGTTTGTCTGCTGCTTTTGGAGACAAAATGATGATTAAAATTATTTGTTATGTTGTTAAATGTGATTTGCTCAATCAAAGAATGGAAGGGGGTTATATGATAATGTTGTCTACCACTCCATCCATACACATCACCATTTCCCGACAACAATGTTAATACTTCTGAAACATTCAATAATAAACTTCACACAATGCTTTCTAAATGTGAATGGTTTTTTAGGGATTGCTTTTGAGGTCAGAAAATATTAATGTCAAGGTCACTGTGATTTCAGATAGATGATTTTACCTGATAATCATATTCGGAAAATAAATTGAATTCTCATGGACCAATCAAACTCAACACTTTCACGTCCTGATAGCTTATTGGGAGTACATGCTGGCGAATTTTAATCCTTTGACAATACCTTTGTTAACTTTTAGATTTGAAGAATAAGTATGTAGAAAAATTATTTGATTTGTGTATATGAAAGATTAATTTTTATGATAATTTCCATCAATATTTTTGTGAATCATTAGAAGTCGAGATGTTTGATAATATGACTTTTGCTAAGAATCAAAATCAACCAACTTCCATCAATCAGTACCAAAATACTGGTGTGTGCTAGGAATGATTAACGTAATCACTCATGCTAATCACCGGGGTTTTCCCCATGGTCTCTGGTTTCCTTCCACACTGGGACCCCTTGTGTGCTTCCATCCGAGCCAACAAAAGTAATTAATATAAGTTGGAAAAACTTGCTTTGCAATTGTTGTAAGATCAATAGTTTACTTTAGTAAGATCACTTGATGTTAAAATTTGTAATCCATTTGTTTGAATTGGTTTGGAATTAAATTATTCTTTACAACATTTAGAATCGAATACTGAGACCTATGTAATCAGGTTTTTTGATGCCCTCCAATAAGGAAAATAAGGTAGTATTTCATCTAGTTAAACAAGTCTGGGATTCCCGTAACAGATGTGAAAAGGTAGGGGGTCACCTTTGTGACCTCATAGGTATAAATCGAGTACTCCCTTTCACAGGAAAACTCCTCACATGTTTACAAGTGTGCCAGAAAGAGTGATTTGTATAAGTTGAAATAACTTGTTATAAAATAAATGAAATTTATAAACAAGAAATGAGAAACAATTTGTTATAATGTTTCTTTTGTTGATTTTGATGATTAATTAGCATGATGTGATATAACAATAATTGTGATGTGTTATTAAGTGGTGGTATGACACAGCCAATCCTTTCTATTACAGCTCTTCACTTACTTATCAGAGATTGTCCTGATGTTATCTCCCTTGTCACTGTATTCTCATTAACTCCATCTAGACTCCTGTTCTAATACAGAAAAGTCCTTACGGATACTACACAGCTTTTAATGTGTAATCATATGTTCTAATACAGAAAAGTCCTTACGGATACTACACAGCTTTTAATGTGTAATCATATGTTCTAATACAGAAAAGTCCTTACGGATACTACACAGCTTTTAATGTGTAATCATATGTTCTAATACAGAAAAGTCCTAACAGATACTACACAGCTTTTAATGTGTAATCATATGTTCTAATACAGAAAAGTCCTTACGGATACTACACAGCTTTTAATGTGTAATCATATGTTCTAATACAGAAAAGTCCTTACGGATACTACACAGCTTTTAATGTGAAGTCATATGTTCTAATACAGAAAAGTCTGAACGGATACTACACAGCTTTTAATGTGTAATCATATGTTCTAATACAGAAAAGTCCTAACAGATACTACACAGCTTTTAATGTGTAATCATATGTTCTAATACAGAAAAGTCCTAACAGATACTACACAGCTTTTAATGTGTAATCATATGTTCTAATACAGAAAAGTCCTAACAGATACTACACAGCTTTTAATGTATTATCATAATCATTAACTTCTCTCAGTATTTAGATTGACACGTACAGTTTCCTAATTCATGTTTTTTTTTGTGTGTGTGTGTTTGTGTTAGCGGTTTCTATGGTTTATCAGTTTCAGCATTATGCATATCAAATCATAACTTGTATCAGAAAACAATGTTTGCAAGACATTTTAAATTACAAAATACTGCTTTTGTGTTCATTTTCGTCTTTGAAGGACTACCAGCTATAATGAATTTACGATGATACATTCAATTGTAATTGAGTTTTTTATCATGAATTTCAAAATATCACTTTTGTGTTCCTTTTTGTCTTTGAAAGACTATGCAGCTATAATGAATTAACGATGATACATTCAGTTGTGATTTTTTTTTTTTTTTTCATATTTTTGAACTTATTTTTAACCATTATCAGTATTCAAGTTCTCATTGCTTTTGTTTAGGTTGTATATTGTATTTTTTTTTTCATTTTTTATTTTGTTTGAGTGATGATGAGAAAATCGTGATGATAAATAAAACAAAAAGGAAGGCATTATATACCTTGCTGTTGTTTTGGTTGTTTTTAGAACTTTTAAGTGCCATTTTTTTTACTGCAGTGCAAAATAACATGTGTCATATTTAATCCATTGGATTCAAATGGAAAACTTTTAAACTTGGCCTCATGCCTAATCCTAGGGACACATAAAATGTCAACGGAACCAAGGAATACCAAACACACTCGGGAATTTAGGAATATTTTCTTCAGGTTGGTTATTTGACACCATTTTCTACCTTTGTACATAGGATTATGGTATGGTTGAGAAAGTTGGTCAGTTCCTTACCAACTCATACACTACATTTGTCAGTGTGAGATCAATGTACCAGAGTATGCTTCACATTAATCATTTGTCTGACAAAGGTGATTGTGTGGTCATCGAAAAGTCACTTAAATATTCTACTGGTTATAAGATGAAGGTGACCGTGTGGTCATAGAAACGTCACACTCTAATCTTATACTGGTTGTGTTATAAGATGAAGGTGAATGTGTAGCCATGGAAACGTCACACTCTAATCTTATACTGGTTGTGATATAAGATGAAGGTGATCGTGTAGTCATAGAAACGTCACACTCTAATCTTCTACTGGTTGTGTTATAAGATGAAGGTGACTGTGTAGTCATAGAAACATCACACTCTTATCTTCTACTGGTTGTGTTATAAGATGAAGGTGATCTTGTAGTCATAGAAACGTCACACTCTAATCTTCTACTGGTTGTGTTATAAGATGAAAGTGACCGTGTAGTCATGGAAACATCACACTCTTATCTTCTACTGATTGTGTTATAAGATGAAGTTGACCGTGTAGTCATAGAAACGTCACACATTAATCTTCTACTGGTTGTGTTATAAGAACATCTATTCTAACATGTTTAGTGTTACAGAAGATCGAGTCTTCTCTGGTTTATGGGAAGAAAGGCCATAAGGTGAGACAAAATCAGCCGTATATTTGTTTACTTCCATACCACTTCAGTTAGACTTTGTCCCTTTAACAGTCTGTAATAGTGTAAGAATACCAAAGCTTTAGTTTCGGCTACTTTTACTGAAAGTCTTCAAAGTTCCATTCCATCCTAATACATGTTTATCAATGAAAGGTACTACAGAAAACATAGTCCCAGTATTCCTCATGCTTCTCCAGTCCTGTGTGTGGTCATGCCGATATTAGAATATATCACTGTGTATAGGTCAAGAGTGATCCAACATGTCAACAATTTGATCCACAAATACATTATGAATTGGGAAGGAGCTGTTTGTGTTGTCTTCACTGTCGACCTACATTCTGTCCTTTTTTTTAGAGAGGACTTGGTTTACTTTTTGTATCCACAGCAGTTCCCAGAAGAATTTACTGAATATCATCGATTGTGGGACTTTGTACCTCCACACAAAAACTTTAAAAGAGTTATCACCCTTTGATTTTTCCTGTACCTAAATATTGCTTTAGGATATCCTCATAAAACATTCTAGTTGATGTTTGGAGAGTTGTATCAGAAATTTCCTTTAAACGGCAGTTATTATACGTCATTCCACTTAAATTTCCTTTAAATGGCAGTTATGTCATTCCACTTAAATTTCCTTTAAACAGCAGTTATTATTCGTCATTCCACTTAAATTTCCTTTAAACAGCAGTTATTATATGTCATTCCACTTAAATTTCCTTTAAACGGCAGTAATTATACGTCATTCCACTTAAATTTCCTCTAAACAGCTGTAATTATACGTCATTCCACTTGTAATATGTAAATATGTTAAACAGTAGCTAATATTGTTCTTTCATTTAATGCTCTTTCTAATACTGTGGCTACCAAAGGTATAGACATCTGACCAAGAAAGGTCACCATGATTTTTTTTCCCTTTAATTCAAAGACGAGCAGTGCTAGAATCGTTTTTACAAATATTCTATCTATTGTTAATTATCCAAATCTTAAAGTCATACATCAAGGAAAGCCATTTACTGTTATATTTTATTGAGATGCTTAAATACAATCAAAACAGCATTATAGAAATGCAAAAATCACAACACAAATATGCAATTTTGACAAAGTTGTTCCATTAATAATTTGCTTTAAGAAGTCATTAGTAGTTATCTTTCTGCAAACTTGAACAAAAAAAAAAAAAAATGTCATATACATAATTCCACAAATAAATGTTTAAAATTGCCATTATATATTCAGTGTAATTCAACTAAAGATTATTCTACTACAACAGGTAAAATAGTAGGATTTTGAAATACATTGTATACAGAACTATCTAATGTAGTACTGACACAAATGCTATAAAGTCTTACAAAGCATACAAGTTTGGACTACAAGTAAGGTAAGTTAACTTTCTTATCAGGGTTTACACCATTATGCAGTAAAACACAGCATTTGTCAGTAACTTGTGTAAAAAAAATGTATATGCTAATTAAAGTAAACTTCACATCACCATGGAAAACCATAAGTAACGTAAACTTCACATCACCACGGAAAACCATAACAAAGAAAATTTCATATTCAAGAACTTACAAAAATATATATGAAGTATTCAATTGATTTTGTTCCACACAAAAAAAATATTAAGATATAAACAAATTTTTAAGTAAAAAACATATTGAATAGTAAAAGAAAAATGTTACTTCTGTCGGCCAATTTATTTGAGAAGTATTGTCAACGAAGTTGCATGTTTATACACCATACTTCAAAAAGGAGATGTTTAATATCAACATTACCACCAGTGTTGTCATTACTGATTCGTCTGGTGTATTTAGTGGTCTGAAGCATAGGGAGCGTTGGGTGATTTGTCTTCATTGTGGATGGCTTAAGAAGTTTTAAACTTGGAAGAATGTGGGGTTTTTTTTATATAGGATATACAAGAAACTAAACATTTGTGTTGCTGATAATGGCAAATTTGATTTCAGCATAAAATATAATGGCCATTCAGTTAATACATTCAGTTCAAAAAAAGAAGAGATAATTCAAATGACAACTGCATGTTATGTCTTTTCATAATGCAGAGTTATCTGCCCTTGTGAACAGGAATTAATTTATGTTATTAGCTCATGATAGAAACGTCATGAGGAAATGAAGCAATATTCTTGTGCAAAATATTGATGCATGATTGGGTTGAAAAACCTGTTTTTATTTCATTAGTTTTATTATAGAAAAACAAGATGTTGTGTAACTAAATCTATTCAACCAAATATGTGAACTGAATGGAAATGACAAGGGAGAGAACTGGAGCAAAATGATCAGTATTTGTAATGCCTTAAAAAACGTTAAAATGATAATTTTTGCGATTTACAAAGTAAGCTTACACTGTATTGGCTATAACACTTTACCTTGTTAACAAAAAAATTGATCCCGAAAATGATAAGATATTGAATGTGCATCAGCAGATAAACTGCTTATAAAATTCAAACTCTATTTACCGGTTGGCATAACTTCTTCATCTTGAGTGAAATCAATATACAACTGTGATGAACGTAAAAACTGGACAAGTTCAGTGATACTTATAAGTTTGACAACTCCAGACACCTGCCTCAGACAAGGTCTTTAAAGATGTTTGTTGGTTTAGTGCCCTCCGAACAGCCTGGGTCATTTTAAGGCAGTTTTTCCATCAGTAGCCGGTGGCTACCTCACTGAACAACATACGGGAGGCCCATTGAATGTCAATCAGAGCAATTTTGGTAAAGTGTCTTGTCAAAGGACACAGCTACATCAGCACCAATCCGTTCCTCATCTTTTTGAGAAACACAAACTGCGATGAACCACATACCTCAGATCTTCACCTGAGGTTAGGTAAGATTGAAAACTTCTGTCTCTAAAATGATAGTTTAATATCAGTAGCTGCATTTCTGATTGTTCGCAGTCAATGGGAATGTCAATATAAATAACAGTATAATAAATGTGAATATTGACATTACATTATCATTTCACAGACAGAAATTGTCTGTCTAAGGTTACATTATCCTTCACTCCTCTCTCTAACCAAAAGACTAATCACTATGAAAGTATAATAAATGATTATATGTTCATATATGCATAACTCTAAATTGTGACTTTCATATCAATTAATAAGCAAGATTGGCTTCAAATTCCCCTTCAAATTATATTGTCAGCTGATCTGGCAAAAATTACCTCTAGGATATATTCAAAGCAGTATCATATACTCAGAATCCTTATATACAGTTAAAATATGGTACAGTCTTGTGTTCTTAGCTAGTCACAAAACCATCTGTTATCCTTGTTCTATTCCTGGTTGATGGCGTTTCCGGTACGCAGGTTCATGGTAACTTCAACCTGGAAGGGATTGTAACCTGCAACAACTGGATAAAGTGGCTCTGAACCATCGACAGCATCGATCACACAGATCTGCTCGCCTTTGGCACAATCAAAGATCTTCCATTCCTGTTTGTCGGTATCCACCATGAACCCAAAGCTGCGACTCATCGTAGCTCCAGCCTCATTCATGGACAGACTGTCGTGAAAGATACACTGGTTGCCATGAGCGATGTGAAGGCAGATCCTGTCGCAATCACTGTGGTGTGCACCAATCAGCGACCATGCAAAGTTCTGGCCTTCTACATGGTGACGATTATCAACAACGCCACCACGTGCCAAGCCGATCTCGAATACAAGGTTGCATTTCTCAAGGGGGCGACGAATCTTGTAGCGGACATAGAGCTCATAATAATGGCTACCAGGAGCTGGTAAGGGAACAGTGCTAATGGCACCCTTGTATTTTTGAAGAGGGTTTTCGCCATGAGGCTCGGTGCCTGCTGCAGTGTTTAGGAAAGTCTTGCCATCAGGGGAGACAGTCACATCTCTATGTGCACGGGCACGGTCAAAAGAAAACTCGGTTCCTGTAGGGACGAAATACATCATAGTTACAATGGAAGCCATCAAACAAATTCAATGTGAATCATACATTTTATATGATACATGTACCAATACTTGACGCTCTTCTAATGTTATCAGGTTTATGAAAAATACGAAATTTAGTATATTATGAGGCGAATGCACCTCCTCATCTTGATTTTGAATTTTTTACAATTACTTTCGATTTTCTTCAGCTGCCTCTTATTTTTTAACATTTAGGCCCTTAGAATCACTGACAAGTCCTTGGACAAAAGTGTATGATGTAGTTTCATTCATTGTTCAGCTCTGCTGTATCTTATCCAAATCTGTATTAAATTGTGCTATTTCTTTGTGTGTCATTTGTACAATCTAAAATACTATTTTAGTTAATGCGATGAAGTACTTCATTTCAGGTACTTTGGGTCATAAGACAAAAAAGAATGCAAGTTATCAAAATTATTTTGTTTAGAGTTAAGTCTGTAAAAAAATTTCTTACTCACGTTTTGCTTTCTGAAGAATGGCTGCTGGAATATTGGAAACTGAAAAGACAAAAGGAAAGAAAAATTATATTTATTCACGGCAAGGGTTGAAATCTTTTATGCCAGAAAATGAACAACAAAACGTACAGGGTTTTATTTAACAATTCAACTTACTGCTAATATCTGTGTTTGGAATGACTTGGAATGGAAATGTCCCAATTGGACGATCCATAACTCGGATTTCCATGACATGGTCACCGGACTCGAAAGGAATAAAGCTGATGCGGTAACAATCATTTGAACCAGGCAAACTGTTGTCTACCCGTGCCAAATTCTCCGTTCCTGCAATGAAACAGAAAGGATTTACTCGAAACAGATAAATAAAGTGGTGTAAACATTTGTACAATGACCAAGAGAATTTGATAAACAAATGTGGGGGTTATTTTCGAGATCAATTTTCATTTCATTTTATCTATAAAATTTAAGCACATCTGAAAATATTACACGTGCGGGAAATTTTTGCGATCTAATGACCTTCGCGTAATTAGCGTAAATTTCTCCCTCACATTAATTTCCATATTTACAGTAAATCTGACTTCGATTGTAAGACATCATTTACAATGTTGTTTCTTTGAAACTCGCAGTCACAACATTTATTTTCAGAACAACACCCATCATCAGTGATATCATTTCAGCAAATTTCTCTCAGAAACTCTTTGTGGTATCAGATATACGAAACACACACACTGAACAGTACGATAAGCCCAGTAACTATGAGTAAAAGTCAGGGTGGGCTTATCATCAATGAAAAACCATACGTTAATAATTCAATTAAACAGTAAAATATGAATGGGCTTATTACCAGACATGGGTATGTCTCTAGATGAATATTATATATCCACCCACCTTTTGGTCCCCTTACACGTGCAGAGATCACTCCCGCTTTGTCATCAGACTTTTCACCTGTATAGGTAGCTGTAGAAACAAAGAATGTTGCAACCTCACTCTCAATGGCATCTCCCTCAATCTCTATCTCAGTATGCGGTGGGTAGATTGAAGAGGCCCACACATTTGCCATGGCGATGGAGTCCTTCTGTATCTCACCATGTAGTCCCTTGTGTGCGAAACCAATTGCAGCAGTCTCGTGTGGCTTCTTGTCGAAGGCTTGTAAGTTGAGTGATCTCATACGCTTGATAATGGTCTTTTCTATCTTGAGAAGGGCAGAGGAATTAGTATATGATAAAGCCTGATCAGAGAAGTAAATCGCTTCCTCTATCTGATTTCTATGGGCAGTCAATGTGCTCATCTGGGTGTCCAGAATCTTTGTCTTCCGATCTACATGGCTTGCTACTTTGTTTTTAAGTTCCTCGCGACGGTTCTCCAAAATCTTTATGTATCCATCGAAGGCTGCATCAATCTGCATTTCTACTTCACGACCTTTCTCGCCCACAGCTGTCGTCTCAATGTCAACATCTCTGATGACACTGGTCACCTTCTCCTCTGTTTTCTTCAGGTTGTCCATTTCTTTGCAGATATCTTGCTTTTTCTTGATGCTAATTTCATCAGTATTGCTAATCTGGTGCCCGTCACTATCCTTGTGTTCACATAAGACGCAAACATAGCAGACTGGCTTCTGGCATTCAACTTTGGAACAGTACAGGTTAAACTTCTCATTGTGTTGGGAACATCTTTGAGGATGGCTGAATGGGCCCAAAGTCTGCTCCTTCTTCAATTTCTCCATGGTAATAAGCTCATGCGACTTGGTAAAAGTTAGCCTCTTGTGGGCCTCCTTGCACTTGTTACATAGGAACTCGCCACATTCCTGGCACCTGTGAGTGGCAACACTCTCCTCTCCACAAGATTGACAGGCAATTTCAGATGGTGCTTCTTGTACCCGGACAAAATCCATCAAATCCTCCCTGGTGTCATCGCGAGGAAATTCTTTCATGTCAGTGGAACTTGTCTTGTGCTCAACCTTGCATTTGGGACACATAATCTTCTTGTCTGCGACCTGTATACAACATATCGAAATGATAAATACTTATGGTGCTCTCAAGTAACGTGAATATTCTTTGTATCTACGGTCTTTAATTTTACTAAAGGACACAATTGGACACCAATTACAACAGTATCATTGTACGTTTTTAGCTGTAGAATTTCTTTATATCACTAATGCTTCAATTCTTTATTTTTGTGGTAAGATGAATTAGAATTTATGAAAAAAAGTCACACACAGTTGGTACTGTTTATAAGAATAAAATTAAAATATTAAATAATACCAAACATCAATTCACTATGATCAATATATACAACAAGAGGCCCAAGGGGCCTTAACGGTCACCTGAGGAATATATGTCAATAATCTGGGGATTTTAAAATGTTGCAAAAATGTAACAACACTTGTGCAGGACCAAGTGTAAAACATCTGTACCAAGTTTGAACATGACCCAACCCAATGGTTCTTGAAAGGAAGTCCATAATGTCTTAGCCATACAGAGGCCAGGGTGGCCATCTTGGATTTTGAATCGCCCCAAAAAATTAAGACACATGCCAGGACCTTGTGTAGAACATTCGTATCAAGTTTCCCCTTTTCCCTCCTCCTGGGGCCGCTATTGGGGCCACGCTCATTTTCTTCGCAATCTTGAAGCGGCTTCCCATGGGGATAATTTGTGCCAAGTTTGGTCAAAATCCATCCACTGGTTCTTGAGAAGTAGTCATTTAATGAAGGTTTTTACATATGGCCCCTTTTACACCCTTTATGGGCCCAAAGGGGACATTATCACTTTTTTTCAACATAATTTCATATGTCCTTTACTAAGGGATGATGTCTACCAAATTTGGTTGAAATTGGTCAAAGTTGAATTTTCGACCCTTTTTAAGCGCCCCCCTAGTGGGGCCGTTTTTGACCCGATTTTTTTTTCATTCACAAACTTTGTAGACCTTGCTATAAGGACCCTAAATATCAAATATGAATTTAATCTGACTGTTGGTTCATGAAAAGAAGATTTTTAAAGATTTACCTAATTTTACCCCCCTTTTTCCCCCTCCTGCGGCCCCTATTGGGGCCATGCCTTTTTTCTTCGCAAACTTCAAGCAGCTTCCCATGGAAATTCTTTGTGCCAAGTTTGGTCAAAATCCATCCAATAATTATTGACAAGATGTCATTTAAAGAAGGTTTTTACATATGGCCCCTTTTACACCGCTTATGGGCCCCAAAGGGGACATAATAACTTTTTTCAACATAATTTCATATGTCCTTCACTAAGGGATGCTTTCTGCCAAATTTGGTTGAAATTGGTCAAAGTTGAAATTTTGACCCTTTTGAGTGCCCCCTAGTGGGGCCGTTTTTGACCCGATTTTTTTTTTTATTCGCAAACTTTGTAGATCTTGCTATAAGGACCCTAAATATTAAATATGAATTTAATCTGACAATTGGTTCTTGAGAAGAAGATTTTTAAAGATTTACCTAATTTTACCCCCTTTTCCCCCTCCTGGGGCCCCTATTGGGGCCATGCCTTTTTTCTTCGCAAACTTGAAGCGGCTTCCCATGGGGATGCTTTGTGCCAAGTTTGGTAAAAATCCATTCAGTGGTTCTTGAGAAGAAGTTGAATATATGAAAAGTTAACGACGCACGACGACAGACAAATCATGATGGCAATAGGTCACCATGAGCCTTCGGCTCAGGCGACCTAAAAATTAATGAGAAACATATGTTTTTAGTTCAATTTGAGAAAAACATATGAAAAATAAATTATAATATCGACAAATCTATCCAGAGTTTTTTTTTTTTTTTTTTGCTTTGAATAAATGCTTAATAAAAAAAACTTGATTAAAATTAATGTGTACACTGCTAATTAAAGAGTCTGTAGTCATGTTTACTATGGTGACAATTGATTACGGTGACCTTAGTCACGTTCAGTGATCTTGAACTATATTACCTTGTCCTTGACACACTTGAAGCAAAGGGTATGTAGGCATGGCAACAGTCGTGGATGTTTGTCATCACTGTCATAGCTAGTGCGGCAGTTGTGACAGCGAAGGAATTTCTCTTTGAGTTGATCCACCCCCATCGTCATGGACGACAGAGATGCCATAGTGATGTTGAAGCTGGCATTGGGGATGGTACCCTAAACAAAACAACAATGGTATATTAGTTTAAAATAAACCAAGAGGGCTAGTATCACTCGTTTAAAAGCTAAAATGGTGAAATAATATTCTTCCTCAAAAAAAAAGTTTTGTAATGTACAACGTGCCAATGTACATGAGAAACAATTGCTCTTAATTCATATCTTGTTTTTCACTTAATGTTTTGTCAAGGTCATAGAATATTTAACATTGATCCCCGTGACCTTAAGTAAAGTAGGTCAAAGTCATGTATATGAGGATACAATATAGCAATTCATCACAACTGGTCAAATAACAAGATTGTGTCTCCAAGAATTAGAGAAAGAAGATTTTTTTTAGGTTTTTAATTTATTGGACCCAGCTATGACCATGAATGTAGACCATGGTCATTTATAAGAATATCTCTAAATGAAACAAGAGGCCCATGGGCCTTAACGGTCATCTGACAAAAAGCAAGCCAAACTCTAACAAAAGCGAGTCTGCCGATAAACAGAGGGCTTTATAGTTACAACTTCATCTGAGAATGTTGGAGCTTCAATGTCAATTCTGTTGGCCATCCAATTATTGACAAGTTGTTAAAATACCATCATTGCATGACGCAGCCCAAATATCTGTACCTCTGTCCTTTTGGTCATTAAGAAGTTGTTGAAAGATTTGAACACTCGGACACTTTCACTCTATATGAATATCATGATTGTGTGCTTTGAACTTGTGAAGCAATGCCTTCAGATAAAGTAGATTGCCAATATTAACCCCTATGAATTTTATTGCCCCAACTGTTGCTTATTGAAGAGAAGTTGTTTGTATATTATAATATATTTGACCCCTGTGACCTAGAAAGTGGGTCAAGGTCATTCATTTGAACAAACTTGGTAGCCCTTCCTCCAAGCATCCTACAGGCCCAATATCAGCACTCTTGGACTTTTGCTTATTGAGAAGAAGTCATTTGTATATTTTAACATATTTGACCCTTGTGACCTTGAAAATGGGTCAAGGTCATTCATTTGAACAAACGTGGTAGCCCTTCATCCCAGCATGGCACAGGCCCAATATCAGCACTCTGAGCTTTTTAATTGTTGAGAAGTTGTTTAAAAACTTTAACATATTTGACCCCTGTGACCTCGAAAGTGGGTCAAGGTCATTCATTTGAACAAACTTTGGGCTCCATGCCAGCATGCTATGGGCCAAGTATTAGCCCCCTAGGCCTTCTAGTATTTGAGAAGAAGTTTTTTGAATGAAAAGTTTGCGGACGACGCACGGCGGACAACGACGGACGAAGTTAGATTAGACTGAAGATGATAACTACCATGTCATGACCATACTGCACTTTCTGCCATAGGAGGTAATGTTAAAATAAGTTTACAGAAATTTTAAACCAACAATTTCCTTTTTAGTAGCTATTAGAATAAATTTATTTCAAGTCAACACTACCTAATTGATTTAATGAAAAAAATATTTAATAATTTCATTTTTGGGCACAGCTTTTCAGATATCGAATATTTATCATCTTAATAATCTTCTCTTGGGTAAATCTTCCTTCATAATATACAACACCTGAACTGATTGATACAAACAATTATTAGTGCTAGCCCATATACTGTAATAATAATACAAAGAATCTAAGATTTAATCATGAGATAGCATTTTCAGAAAGAAAAGTGTACTTTCTCTTTAAAATATATACATGTTTGGGGAAAAAAATCACATGTATTTCTGTTTAAATTTTGGGAGACCATGCAATACATGTAAAAGAAGGCCCATGATATAACAGAGAAAAATATTTATTATCATGGTATATTAAATGGGAAAATAAGGAGAGTAGCTGATATTTATTTCAGCAAAATGATTTCTTCTTATAATTTAACATCGACAAATATAGATTTTAAAAATTTAAAAAGATCATAATTTGATTATTAGTTCTTTCCTGATAATATCGTTTAAAACATAGCTTATATGTCTTTTTTTCGTTATTCATTCTATGGAAATATTTGATGGTGAAACAAATTTAGGCCAAAAGGAAACGACAAAGTGGAAAAATTTTATCTACTTTCTGTTTTATTTTGGGAGACTGCGCAATACTACAAATCCGAAAATATTCCAAATTTTCTTTAAAAATAAACACGCAGAAAATAGCAATGAAGAACTCAGATTACTACAACTTTCACTTTATTCATATCTTATCTAACATTTTCATTCAAATATGTAAACAACAAGTTTATCTAAGTGTGTCAAATCATTGAACTTGTTTTGCCCACTTGTAGAGTTACTTCCCTTAGTACTTTCGTTTTCCTTTTGGCTTACACGTCATATGGATAAAAAAAATCAGGACTTTTAAGTACCCATCAATTCACCAACTAATGAAAGCTAATAATATTGTAACATCCTAGATAAACTGTAATGTTATAAAAAAAAAACCTTTGATGCATTTCACATCAAGTGGATTCAGGTTTTCTAAATGCTTAATTTGGCACCATAGGAACCAAACATATTATTTGAGAAATATAGCTGTTATGTTGCTAAAATGTCTGTTGTCAAATTTTAATTGATATTTTCATATGAAAAATCTTATAAGTTTGACTGGGCATTTTTCATTTTTTTTTTTTTTTAATGTCTTTATATATACGTATTTACTTCAATAAACTTTGCACATACTGTTAATGCGTTTCCATGTACTTACCACAAGCATGGTCATCTTCTCTTCTTTTATTTCGTCTTGAGGTGTCTGAAAAATATGTACGTTTAGTTTCTACTAGACGCAACAAGAAAATGGCTACCTGCTGGTTGACAGGTCTAAAATGAAAGTAGTCGTTACGTCACTTTATCGGAAATACCAACAAGACATGGTATTTCGTAGTATTTATTAATCACGTGGGTGGGGTGTATGCTAAATATAGACTTCAGATATAAATATGAGTACTTGATCTACAAGGTAAATAATTAAATACGTAGTTTATATATATTGGGAAATGTGACACAGATGACGGTATGGTAATGTGATTTGTGCTACAATGTTCAAAATTGGAAAAAAAAAAGTTAACATAATACATCATATACGGCAATGTTGTTGATCCGAAAGTTCCAATTTTGAATTACCTGTCATAATTGTAGCCGAGTATGATATATAGATATATATGTATATCTTGATAATTATTGTCACTGTTGTTAAACATCTGAAGATTTAGCAAAGAAAACATTTGTAATCGTTTCGTATAAAAATGTATATACACTGTACATATGATATAAATTTTGTAAAGTTCTCAATTACTTATCATTAAAAAGATTGAGACGCAACCAATAGTTTGAAATACTCTCTTACGCTCTTCAACATCAAGATTCACCATTCTTTCTAAAAAAAAAATGGAAACCCATATTCTTTTAAATACGCGAATACGCAAGTCATACATATATGTATATGTAGTTGAGTAATGTAATGTGTATCGGACGGTATAGTATGGTGCATTATCAGGATTTTGTGTCGGGCTGAAGACACAGAAAATTGATATTTCATGTTTTATTGTGGCGTAGAAGTCTATCCTATAATACATCAAATCGGTACAAAACAAAAATCTTATGTATTACTATATACGTATTTTCAAGATAATTTGTCCCCGGTGTTTTTCCTACAGTATAAATTCTATTTCTTATGACGAGTGAGTACATATGTGTAGTTTTTGGAATTTTCATTTACTTCTGCTATTGGGCTTTATCTGTGTTCAAGTGCAATTTAGATCCAGCTATTGGTCCTAATTGAGATTACCTCTGCTCATATCAAAGGAATGAGACGGTCTTCAAGCATTGATGCCCCGAGTAATTCAATATCATACGACCTGCCCTATAGAAGTCCCTGTCTTTGTTGATGAAACGTCTCAGATTAATCTTAGTTAATATCCGGTCAGTCAGTCAGGATGATTTTTCCCATTTTTTTATTATTATTTTTCCGTGGGACCGCAAGAATGCATCAAAAAGTATTATACTTCCCTGGTACACGAGAAAGAAAGAATCTTAAAAACGGACGGAGGCTAGTCGCCCTCGGCGAAGAGCTTGTGAATAAAGTTGGGATCAATTTAGTAGAATAAAAAATGCTACTACAAAGTTCAAACAAAAAAGAGAGGCGTTTTGTCGATTTGACTTTTTTTCCAGATTCGAGTAAAAAAAGTCTCAGATTATCAGAATAAAAAGTGGTACATAAGGAGAGGTAAACGAAAAATAGTTGTCTACAAAATAGACAAATCGGATTCACTTGCACAGATGACTGTCACTTACATATTTCACTGACTAGAACATATATTCATGTTTCTACTTACCTCCATTGCTCGCCGATGTTCAAAGCAAAAGTACTTAAAACGAAAGTAGGATATTCCAACTTGAAGTAGGACCAAAGGTTTATCAAAGATATGCTTTATCTAAACAGTGTTTTTCATTTTTTTTTTTTTTTTTTTTGAAACGTATCTTACTTTATATAGACTGTTTCGGGCCCGACAACGTGCGCATATTTACTCTTTATTGAACGGTTGGGGTACGATAAAAGTCGGTCACGTGATACAATAATGTCGTTATAGCCGAATCAGTCATATTTTGCATATTTCGTAACTTCGCCTTTGTTTTATGTTCTATATAGTATGTAACTTATGTATTTAAGGGGCGGATTACCGCGAAAATATTACGATCAGTTTACTAGTCCATACTATCGCCATTACTTATTTGATATTACACGGAGCAAAGGTAGACTTAGTATTTCGATCATGTTTATTATCTAACACGTCTACTACGATAACTGCATGCAGCATACGTAAATCATTAAGACATTTACACGATGAAGTTACTTTTGAATGCATTTCCCCTTATTATTTGTATGACGTTCAATCTACTTTCTCTTTATTACATCTTACTACTGCACGTCAATCAAGGTCCAATCGGAATAGGTCGGCCAATTCCGTACATGCTCGGAATCGATAAACGGAATTTGCCGAGATGATGTGCCCTTTGACCTGTGAATTGAACCCGAAAACACGTTTGCAGTGACAGCTGATGGAGGGAGTAAGTAGTTTTTTTATCGAAGTTTGATGAACAAAATCGAAACATTACCTCTAAAATGACAACTGGTAAGACAGCTACTACAGTAACTACTCAACAGAGGATCTTATATACATAAAGCAGTGCGTTATGTGTGCTGCTTAATACAAATCTAATTGCACGATTAGGTAATATTACGAGTGTGCTAACAACGTTCTATTTATTGACCAGATTTCCTCATTCACGGACAGGTATTTGTAACATTTGCTACATACATGTCGATCTATGAACCATCAGTAGTGCGTTTTTAAAGAAAAAAAATATATACGAACTGTGCAAATTTTTTTTTAAGGATTATAATGTATACTATATACAGATGTATTGTCACCATGTTGACACCATTCCCTTTCAGTTGACACATATGTATAGGTACCAGGCTCGTCGCTCTCAGTAAACTCGTACCTATATTGAGTGTATTAACAGACAAGGCTGTGGATACCAGATTATGTAATGCTATGTGTTAAACCAGACTTAATTTCAGATATTGATCGAGATTTAATATCCATTTCAAAACGTGCCTGCAAATCTCATGCATTACAATTCAATTTTCGACTCTCATAAGTTAATTTTTCAACGATACTTTAGAACGCTAAAAAACAAAAACAAAATCACATCAATTCAAAGAACAAAAAAATAACAACTGAAAGTTGATTATGATAAAATAGTAATTTATGTGATATCAGTTATATCTGCATTTCTTTATTTTTTAAATGTGATCACAATGCAATAAGTTGCTGTCATTTTTAGCTCACTGGTCTGAAGAGTCAAGTGAGTTTATGCTTGGATGCAGTGTCCATCTGGCATCAACTTTTCCATGTAAACAACTTCTTCTCAATGACCAGCAGACCAAATGCCATGGTATTTGGCTGGTTGGTCGCTGGGATGAACGCCAACAAAGTTTGCAAAAGAACTGACCTTGACCCTTATTCAAGTTCACAGGAGTCAAATTTGTTTAAACATTTCTACATCTTCTTCTGACTGACAAAAAGGCGCAGAAGCATATTTGGATAGGTTGATAGATTGAATCCTGACAAAGTTTGCAAAAGAAAAAAATGACCTAGTCCCTGATTTGAGGTCACAGGTACTCTTTTGTTAAAACATTTAAAGAGCTCCTTGTGATTAACCAAAAGGCACTAAAGTACAGTATTAGTGCCTTTTGGTTAATCACAAGGAGCTCTTTTTTTTTTTTTTTTCATTTGGATGATAGATTCCTAGGATGAAGCCTGACAAAGTTTGTATACAGAAATGATCATTACCTTAATTCAAAGTCACATAAAGGTAAATTTGTTAAAACTTTAAAACATCTTCTGATGACTAACAAAAATGCACAGAAGTATGATATTTGGATGATAGATTCTTTGGATGAAGCCAAACAAATTTTGCCAAAAAAAAAAAAAAATGACTTTGACTCATATTGAAGGTCAGGGTGTCAAATTTCTTGAAACCTGTCAAAGATTTCTTCTGGTAAACTGAAAGTCTTTAATACTAAGTTTGATGAACATTAAATACCAAGTGAGCAATGCAGGCCTATTGGGCCTCTTGTTTAGAGCAGTCAATGTTTACAAATAGATTTAGATCTAGATTCCATACTGTACATTTTCTGTAACATTTGATTTATATCTCATCACTGTTCTGCCATTATTGATGACAAAAATTAGGGTCATATCAATTCAATGCAACAATTTTAGAATGAAAGTCCATTTCATGCAGTGTTGGCTTTAAAAATTTTATACAATTTACATACATACATGTATCTCATTTTTTCATTGTGTGATTTTGTTGTTATTGTGTCATAAAGAATGCCAACTACCCACTCGACACACACTCAAGAAAAAGTAGAATTCACATCATTGAAATGCTAATATGCAGATCAGGAATGAGGAACTAATCAGCAGCCCTCATGATTAGATGGTTATTTTTAATGGTTCAATTTTTTTTAAAAGTCTAGAAAAGTAAATGATGTATTAGAATTTTTCATGGGTATTATGAAATGGATAAGGATTTCATTATTCATATATTTTAGTTTCAAGATGTCTACATTTCGTGACTTTGTTCTGTCTTAATTTGGAAGACTAAAACCTCTCTTGAAGAGACCCCTTTACAGTATGTATGTGTTATGAAATTCTTTTGTAGGAATTGGATCCATATTGTGAACGTGACCTTGACCCAGTGTTAGATTTACTGTGCTACCTCAACAGTGCCTGGAGTTCCGCCTAAGATGGCTGAAGAGAGAACACCCTTGCTGACCGCAAAAGATGACACAGAGTCTACCTATGTTAACGTCGTCCCTAACAAAGGACCGGGGAATTACGCTCATGACCACACCACTTCTCAGGTCATCAAGGACACAAGGTTTGCTCAAGATTCCAGTGGTTCTGGCTCAACAGATGTCAGGTAACAAAGATCTTCCTCAAACTACTGATCTCATACATTGGCCATTAACATTGTTCTAGAAACAGATCACATTTCAAAGACACTTAGAACTATGATTAAATGATATTATGATTGCACCTGATCAAATGCTTTTGAAAATTTTGTGATAGATTTAAGATAATGTGTTTGTTGTACTTCAAATTCTGTATGACTAAACTATAAATAAGTTCTGTTTTAATAAGAACTTGTTTCCTTTTGATTTTTTCAAATTATTTTTTTTCTGATTTTTGTATCAGAGAAAACCTCCTGTATGAGCCCTATGATGGTCCTCTTGTTACAAGAAATCCATACTTACGTCAAAGTTCCAGTGTAGCTGAAATAACACAGCCAATCTACCTATCATGGAAAGACATCAATGTGTATGCCATGCCACAAGACCGGGGATGTTGTCGGGGTCCTCCAAAAGGTGCAGAGCCCAGACACATTCTACGCAATGGTAAATCATATCATTCATTTTCTGATTCAAAGATATTTTGTTACTCTGAGGGAGAACGTAATGACTGTAACGTTGTCCAATCCACTTCAGGGAATTAAGCTATTGCAATTTTTCCAAAATTATGGAGTTTGCTTATGTTCTGTCCAGGTCAAGGGATTTGTTGTTTGTCAAGAGGAATCTACAGCTTTGACCAGATAAGGCCACCTTAAGTTGCTCTGTGTGTCAATTTCCTTATTTTTGGGGAAACCCTTCATATGAGTGGATAAATTGATAGAATTGTTCACCTCATTGGTATTGAGATAAGGGAATCTCAACCAAAGGGAAAAGATTATTAAGTTGACAAACACAAGGCTTGTTGATTGTTTTAAACTAGACAATCTTCTCCCGAAAGGTTGAAATCTCCCTATATCACCAACAGTGGGGTTTACTTTTTCCTTATCCTTCTGACCTTCAAATGTATAAGCTGTTTTCTTATTGTTGATGTGATATTGAAAATCCCTGTGTCTCCACTCAAGTGTAAGACAAGGAAATCTTACACCATTGAAAGTATGGGTACACCTGATGAAGATAAGATATGACTCTGAACCTGGAACAAGGATGTGAAATAAAATCAGATGTGTTCATGTACAATATTTATTTCTTATTTTCTTTAATATTTTTTCAGTATCTGGAATAGTGAAACCAGGAACATTGCTGGCTATCCTAGGGGCTAGGTAAATGCATACTGTAAAAAAAATTCAATTTTTTTTGCTTTTGCTTATTCTTGAGCTTGTTATTGTTATATATTTATTATGTGCAGTCTAACATAACAATATAATTGTTAAGTGCCTGACATCATTTCCTGACATCAAAAAAAGTTATGTTGCATTTGTTTATATTGAAATATATGAAAACAACATATTCACTGAATAACACGGCAGTCATGTGATAAATAACTGAATTCCATACACAGTGGAGCTGGGAAATCTACGCTGATGAATGTGTTGACCTACAGGAACCAAACAAAGAATTTAGTGGTACAAGGCGATGTGCGACTCAACGGAGTCGAGGTTGGCAAAAATATTCGCAACATGTCCGCCTACCTTCAACAGGATGACCTTTTTATAGGGTCTCTAACTGTAAGGGAGCATCTGACATTCAGGGTAGGTAACTCTTTAGAGTGTCTTTAACTGTAAGGGTACATCTCATATTCAGGGTAGATAACACCTGAGGGTGTCTTGAGCCATTTGGGAGCATCTCATATTCAAGGTAGATAACTTTTGATGGTTTCTGTAATGATCTTGTAGCATCTCATATTGAGGGTAGGTAACACCTGAGAGTGTCTTTAGCTATTTGGGAGCATCTCATATTCAAGGTAGATAACTCTTGGCAGTGTCTTTAATGATCTTGCAGCATCTCATATTCAGGGTAGATAACACCTAAGGGTGTCTTGTGCCATTTGGGAGCATCTCATATTCAAGGTAGATAACTCTTGGTGGTGTCTTTTATGATCTTGTAGCATCTCAAATTCAGGGTAGGTAATATCCAACATCAATAATTTTCCAATATTCATGGAATTGGAAATCTTGTCAGAGACTTGAACATCAGCAAATTTATCTTACTTATATATCTGTTAGACATATCTTGAGATGAACACCACAAGGGAATTTTTCTTGCGCATATATAGGTTCTGAACTGTTGATTCAACCCTGTTCTAATAGCTTGTAGTAGATGTTTTACATGTGCTGTTCTGATCTGGTGTTTTAGGCACTTCTGAGAATGGACAAGCGAATTGGTAAGAGAGAGCGTCTACAGAAGGTTGAGGAAGTTATAAATGAGGTAATTGAATTATATTTATTGGGAGATTTATTTGTAACTGAAAGTTCATTGCGAAATATACCTAAAGTTTATTGGGAAATATTGGGTGATTTTTTTTATAACCTAAAGTTCATCGAGAAATATTTGATAATTTATTCATAAGCTAAAGTTCATTGGGAAATATTTGATAATTTATTCATAAGCTAAAGTTCATTGGGAAATATTTGATAATTTATTCATAAGCTAAAGTTCATTGGGAAATATTTGATAATTTATTCATAAGCTTAAGTTCATTGGGAAATATTGGGTGATTAATTTATAACGTAAAATTCATTGGGAAATAAAGGATGGTTTATTTGTAACCTGTATGTAAATCTAGACAAAATGATAAAACTGGAAAACATCGGAAAATGTAATTATAATTATTGTAGGGTTGTCAAATGTTATTCATTATCACTATAGATGCTATTGACAACAAATAAAATCTGACAAGTGTTTAATGGTTAATTGAAAATTTGTGGTGGAAATGCATACATCTGTTTGTTTGGGGTTTTTTTTCCACCTTTTTTTCCCCCCTTATTTGTGAGTTTTTTTTTGGTGCACAGCTGAATGATATAGATCTAAGTGTGATTTGTTGTCAATGTTGTAGCTTGGCCTCACCAAATGTGCAAACACAGTGATTGGAACACCAGGTCGAGTGAAAGGGATTTCTGGAGGAGAGAGAAAACGATTGGCGTTTGCCTCGGAGGTGCTGTCGAATCCCCCTCTGATCTTTTGTGATGAACCCACCTCTGGTCTTGACTCTTACATGGCAAAGAACATTGTACAGACCCTTAAGTTACTGGTGTCTAAAGGACGAACAATTATCACTACTCTTCATCAGCCATCTTCCGAGGTTTTTGAAATGTTTGACCAGTAAGTTTTTTTTTTTTTTTTTTTTTTTTTTCAAAATTTTATTGTTGGATTTTGAACGCTGTTTTTAATCATGTTGTCAATACATTTGTAAATGCTCCAGGATTTATTACTTTCTATAATAATTTGAACATAAATCAATATGGATTTTTATCTGTTAGGTAGTGTATATGTTGTAAGTGAACTCAGTCGATCCACACCAGGGTGCTTAGCACATCATTGAAAACATTTGTATCAATATCATTTTATGTTAATGCCGATTTAATGCAGGCACGTAGTGTTACCGTGTAACTCTTGTCTCCCTTTCACATTCTGTCACATTGTGACACCATACATCCCATCCTGTTCTGAATCAACGTCATATCTGGAGAACGTCGACAGATTTTATTTGTATTCTAAATTTTATCATAACATCAAGTTTTACGCTATATTATTTTGATGTGGTCATCAATCAAGATCATAGGGTCAAAGGTCACATCTGGCAACTTTCATCAAACACTTAAGTTTAATATATGGAAGGTGGGACATTCTTGTCTTTCTGCCATTTTCAGGTTCGTTAAAATGTTAGTAGACATTGTGATCTCAGAACTGATAAAGACTGTATTGATATTGTCAAAAGAAATGGATATAACTCCTGAAAGTTTCTATGGTTCAAAGTATGGTTTTATTTCGAAGGATATATTTTTGTACGCCCATCAAAAATTTTGACTGGATGTATAGTGATATGGCATTGTCCATCAGTTGTAAACTTTTATTTGTCAAAAGATCTCCTCCCACAGTTTTCAGCCAATCTTTTTTAAACATGGTAGGCTGGATAACTTGGGTTTTTTTACAAACCTAACAGTATCATAAAAAAAGATGCTGAAGCAAATACTACAAACATTACTTTTAATTCATTAAAAAAATACATCAATTTTTGTTTTTTCAGATTGCTGTTGTTAACAGAAGGGCGAGTTGCATACTTTGGACCTGCCAAAGAAGCATTAGAATTTTTCACTGGGTTTGTACATACATTTCTGCATCAGACAAAAAAAAAAGGAAAGAAATACCACACTTTAAGTTATGGATAATTCACATAGACAGAACTTTGATTGATCAATACAGCCAGGGTTTTAAGAGATGATTTTGAATAATATACGAGAACGAGAATCTGTTATGACTATTTCCTAAAATTATTTTGCATTATAGTTTTAGTTTCGCTATTTCAAAAGAAAATTAAAACAAACCCAAGGTCGGAGGTCAATATTTCCTTGATCATTCTCTATATTTTTTTAATTGATAAAATCTTTTGTTTTAGGGAGAATTTCCAGTGCCCCCCGAACTACAATCCAGCAGACCATTTTATCTTGACTCTTGCTATCCTTCCAGATAGTGTGGAAAATTGTAAACGCAGAGCTGAGGTAGGTTGAGGACAGATGTATGTTGTTGATAGAAAGGGGACGGGTGTCTTGATGGAGAAGCGGGGACAGTTTTTGCAGATTTACAAGCACTTTAGTGTTGCTTTACTGTGCTATGGTAGTTAGCTCAGTATATTGTTGTTCAGGGTTTTATTGAAATCTGCCACCTTTAAGCTTACAGGTCTTTTTTTCACATGTATTGATTCTAACTGTAAGTGGACAAAGGTTCCCATTGTTTCCATAGTGATGTTAGAACTTAGTGTACAAGGGTTGTAAAATAATAATTTCCTGTCAAAAATTTATGTTTACCAATGTTTCGGACCTTGGCAATTATCACTCTATGTTATGATGAAAAGTTGTCAAGTGTAAATGTATGGGCACTTTTCATTGAACACTGACACTAATCATTCTATAGAGAGTGAGAGTAAAAAGAAAACAATACAGTCGACCCGGTTACCTTGAAAAAAATAAGTGAAATGTGTTGATGTTAGCTTCCTGGAATAAAAATATATAAAAAAGGTGACATTGATGTATGGAAACAGTGGCAGTGATACATAGATTATCATTTTCTGTTATCAGCATTAAAGAACTGCACATTTTGTGATCTGTGACCAGTAATACTAACAATATAAGGTTGTTAGGAAATAAAATAGGGGTAGGGGGTGGGGGATGGGGAAGGGGACTTACGGTCATATTTGTAGTCCTAAACATTGTGCTGTGGTAGTCCTAAACATTGTGCTCTGTAGGAAAAACCGTCACGGAGGAAAGGAAAATTTTCTCATGTACAGTTGTAGGTATTAAAAAAATTGCATTGATTTAGGCATAATACTTAAATAATATACAAAAAGTTTTAATGGTTTTGCAGTATTTCAGACTTTTTCCAAATCCAGAGTATGTGCTTTTGATATCTATATTACATGAAGATGTCCCCAATTAAAAGGACTTTCGATTATATATTGATGCTTTTAAATGGATATTCTGCACTAGTTTGTAAATTTCTGGTTGTTTTGTGCCTTTTAGGAACTTTTTCTAATGACTTTTAAAACTGTAGTTCACAACAATATATCTATCTATAAAATTGGTGGAAATACCCCTTTTCCATTATGAAATTTGACTGTCTGAATATAGACCATTGGGAAATCTGGAACTCTGTGACTGATTGGATGATAGATTTTATGTGTAGTATGGAGTAAATACAAAAGTCTTCACCTATAATTTCTACTGGGATCGGAACTGCATTGCTTTCTGTGTTTTATTTTTCTCGTCAGTATTTAAAATATTAAAAACTACTTTGTACTGTTATTATAGCTCCCTCTTGGTCAATCTAATATTTATGAATCTATCTAGCTAGATCTATATATAGAATTTCTACAAAATCAATTTTCATGTTTGTGTATGTGGTGGATTGATGCATACAATTAGAACATAAGTAGATATTTTATGATTTTATTAAAAAAAAAAAAAAAAAATTAGATGAAATCCAGGTTTGTGCAGAATATCTTTTTAATGAATTGTGCCTTAGTTATAATAAAATATTTTTGCTATATTTGTATTTTACTTACAAAATTATATAACAGGATCACCACTTTTCATTTCCAGTCTATATGTAACTCTTTTGAGAAGACCAATACCTGTAAGGCAATTATGGAGGACATTGCTAAAGTAATGGACACTTCTTCAACTGGACACAATCTGAGTGTAAGTTCATTCTTTGTGATACAGTGATACAAACTATCTACCAAATCCTTGAGAAAAAATCTTTGATTTACTATAAATCTGAAGTTTGAATCAGAATTCAGAATAATGGTCCTGATGTAATGTTTTTAAACCTGGAGTTAAAATTCACTTAATCTCTACACAGTTGCAGGATCAAAGACTCTCTTAATTTGATTTTTAATATGTGCTTGTTGTATTTCAGTCGGAGTTTGACTCTTCAAGGTAAGAAAACTCCACAGTATCTACCAATAAGTTTGTGTCTAGTAATAAGCCTATCTATTTATAAAGGTGTTAAGTAGAATTGGAAAACAAATATTTCATAGTCTTGTAATAAGCCCACATCCCAAAAAAAGGAGAGGCTAATTAATATGTCACTTGATATACATTTCAGAATCAACAATAAACAAGTAATTGCATGTGTGTTATTTGTACCTGTGTAACACTGGTCTGTCCAGGGTAATACATCCAGGTTCACTGTTCTTGTAAAACACATCCGCCCATGCGATACAACCAGGCGCTCGTAGAAATATGACATGTTCCCTCCCAATTTACATCGTTGCCTGATATTTTGTTTTATTTTTTAGGGCAAACTTTGTTTGCAAAATGTAGATACGGAGTATCTCAGTATTAATTTTCTGTGTCAACTTGTGGATTATTTGCAAAATTGAAAAAATGTGATTTTCATATCATATGGTGTCCTTGGTAGTACATTGTCGACGTCTGAAGTTTATAATTTTTCAATGTTTTAGAATCAGAAATGAAAAGAAAAATAATTTTCCTTATTTTGGGATGTAGGATGGGATGTTCCACCTTTGAGGTAAAAAAATGAGTTAAAATCCTTGTCAAAGCCTCAGGTTTTACAACATTTTGTGACCTCTTGTGTGGAATATCTTACACCCCTACATATGAAAGAATAGTGTTGTTATAAGGTAGCAGGAAACAGTTAATTTGCATTTTTCCTGAAATTATTGGTCATGTTTGAGGTATAGCTGATTGGTTATGAAAAATACATCATTACATGTATATATATTTATAAACTATATAACAATTACATTAACAGTTGAGAGATAAAATTTGTGTAAATAAAAAATTTCCTCTGATTTCTGACATGTGATTGCCATGGTTACCTACTGAAAAATTGCTAAAAATGCAAAAATACTGCTAATTCCAACCTAACACTACAACTTTCTAGAAGAAATTGATTATAAACACCTATCTTAAAATCAACAACACTGTCATGGTAACAAAGTACTTACATTTCAGCAAATTCCAATGCGGAAATTCTTCATAACAAGACCACATGTTAACACTATGAAAATTTCACTTCCTGTAAAGCTAGTTTTTGATGTGTAGACACAGATTCAAGACTGCCCAAATAGTAATCTCCAACATAAAGCTAAAATATTATTCTGAAAAAAATGAAACCCCCACATTGTCCACTCTAACGTGACAAGACCAATTTTAGCAAGGATTTATTTTTTAATTTTAATTAAAACCTTTATAATGGGGTAATCTAATGAACAAAAAAATCACCCATGGCCACACTGAGAAACTGTGTACTGCTACCTGGTGAAATCTAAATTCTAAATTATTACTTTATGGAACCAGTTCATGTTTCACCTATTCAAATTTGTTTGTTAAAAAATGAAGTTTCAGTAAGTGTGTTCATGCACACGGTGGTGACAGTGATGTATTTTTACAACAGATACGGTGCTGGCTGGTTTTCTCAGTTCATCAACGTTTTATGGAGAAGTTGGGTGACCAATGTTCGTGATCCGATGGTGTTTAAAGCAAAGATATTCCAGACCTGCGTAAGACATTTCTTTCAAATAAAAACAATACTGTAATTTTTTAAATTTTTGTGGGGATTTGTAATCCTTTCATACAATACTATAAAAAAAATTTTGTGGGGATTTATTTTCCTTTCAGGCAATACTGTAAAAAAATTCATTTTTGCGGGGATTTATATTCTATTTATAATACTATAATTTTTTTTATTTTTGTGGGGATTTATTTTCCTTTCATACTATACTGTAATTTTTTTATTTTTGGATTTATTTTCCTTCAATTAGTGGTTACTCTGAATCCACGAATTCATATTAACATGAAATGATTATTAAATGAAGGTTGACATGGATTAAAGTTCTCAAGGATTTATGTAATCTCTGTATATTTAATTAATCTCTGTATATTTAGGTTATCTCTGTGCTGTTTGGACTGATCTATCTAAAGACAAACGATGAGTACAACCAGAATGACGTTCAGAACATCAACGGACTCCTATTTCTACTCCTCATCCAGATGACAATGATGAACCTCTTCGCTGTTATCAATGTAAGTCTCTACAAGATCACTGATCGTTAAACTGGATTGTAAGACACTTTTGAAAGCTCAGAAAGAGACTGCAATTTCCAGAGACTGTTTACTCATTGTGTATTTGTGTCCTTTCGCATCCCTTTCCAAAATTTATTACTCGAGAATCTCCTGACAGATTAGGTTCATGTTTAACCCATAGTATCGAAACATTTCTACACCTGGTTTATCTAGGAATGAGGGCGTTCATATCTTACAGACATTTTCTAGACTAAAGAAATTCTTTCTTTATCATGTTTCCATTCATAGTTTAGTGATATTTTTACGCCTTTGCAATTTTTTAGGACCATGCCCTATTTTGAATCACTGACACATATCGAGAATCACACAACAGATTTTGTACCATAGCATCAAAACATCAAGTTCTATAACTCATCCTATTCTGGGCTGCATCAGAGCATTGCAATTCATGTTTGATGGACCTATTATGGTTTTAAAGGAAGTTGATACTCTTAAATATCCTTGTTCTGTATCAGGATATTGTCCAAGTTTTGCCTGAAGTTTTATGAATAGTAAATCTGACTTTTGTTTGATACAAGGCTGGAACCTAATAGGGAAATTAGTTCAGAAATTCTTTGTCATGTTTGAAATTCTTTGTTGAATGACTGAATAGCTGAATAAGCCAGGTAAGTGATGCAGGTCCCTTTGGTCTCTTGTTTAGGGATAGATTTGTTGATTGACAAAGATGAGGGGTGTGAGGTTGTTCACGGTTTACTGTAAAACAGTTAATTTTTCCATTCATTGTTGTATTCTCAGTTATCACAATAAAAAAAATAAACTATGAAGTCCCTAGAGGAAGACATGAGTGAGTAGGTTGGGGGGGGGGGGGGGGGGGGGGGGGGGGGGGGTGACATCACTAAAAATTGCTTGTTTGCAAACCTTTTTTGTAAACATAATTTTTTTTTTATATTGAAAGATAAATGCAAGAAAAACAAAAAAACACCTTAATAGTAATACAATATATAGAGACTGTGTCATTGATATGTATTATAGTGTATTGAAATGTAGGAGGCAAATGCTTTATATACATGTACAAACTTACTTTTTCAATTTCCACTTTACAACACTGTGTTTTGCAAAGAGACCAAGTTAAACTGTCATCTTTGTTACCATCCTTAATGAATTAATCGCTGACTGATAATTGATTGTGAAATTGGCCAAAAAATTCTTCTGTGGCTAGCAAAGTTTATATAACTACAACTACCAATCTGGTGAATGCATAAAAAAGGTCATGAGATAGAAGCTTTATTCACACAACCCAGTTGTTGTTTTGTTTATCACCACACCATGTTCCATCAGTCTTACACACTTTCCTCAAAATTTACATATCACATTAAGTAATTTCCTATTGAAATGGTAACATCAATGCTTCATGAATTCAAATTTGAAAAAAAAAATTATTTGCTTGTACTGTCTACACTCGTGAACTTTATATTTTCTCAATGTGTTGCAGCTATTCCCGTTAGAGCTACCAATATTCCTGAGAGAATATGGATCAGGCCTTTACGGAGTGGATGTGTACTTTCTCAGTAAGAACATTGCTGAGGTAAGGACAGAAAATATCAAATGTAAATTTATTAAAGAAAAAATTAACAATGTTCATAGAGGAAGACATTAATGAGTTTGGGGGGTGGGGGTGTCAGTTAGGAATTAAGTAGGAAAATATCGCGGAAACTTTGTCTTAGTATACATGTATACTGTAATCTGTTCATGTTTATCTCCCATTGAGGCCTCCAGGAATTTGGACTGGTGGAGACCTGGGGCCCGTTTGTTTATGCAAACAAATGGAAAATTTATGTCATCAATAGTTAAAAGACCTGGTTTTATTGGCTGATAAAATTTGAGGGACCGTTTCCAATAAAATGATGCAGGTCATTAGCCTTTCATTGATACAGCTATGATTACAACATTTTTAGACTCAAATTATTTCAGAATGGGAAGAGTATGCTTGTTTTTTTACATATACTAGAGGTTAGATAAAGAATTTTGTCATTTTTACACTCGACTGCAACTCTTGTTAAAACCAAAATTCATGATATATGCATAAAAGAAGTTTACAATTCTCATAGTATAAACAAAAACATCGGCATATTTTCCCTGAAGTAGTTCATATAGATAACATTACTGTATCATTTATTATATTATGAAATGACAGTTAGGGTCCATGAGCCTATTGTTTATGTGAATCGATGATCTCAATACAGATCATACATTTTTATGCCCCCGCCATTTATGGCCCGGGGCATATAGCGTTGCCTATGTCCATCCGTCCCGTCCAGTCCCGTCACGTCGCGTCGCGTCCCAAATCAGTATATACCACCTAACAACTTCATTCGGACCTTTCACTATTATTTCACATGGGGGGGGGGGGGCATTCATGTCTTACAGACATTTTCTAGTCTATATTATTTTACAGCTACCAGCCTTTACGATTTTTCCGTTTACATTCTGTACAATCCTCTACTGGATGGCAGGTAAGTTGAATACTCCTTAACATTTTTTTCATTAATTTGATAAACACAAGTTTACCAACAGCTAAGCAAGCTCTTTGTTGAAAGTAATTGTCCAGAGCATAATATTGCTTGCATTTAAGAAAGGATAATGAAACTTATTGTATATATCAATCATAGGAAGACAATGTGTAGTGTACAAATGTTAGAGTTATTGCCCTTTGTTAAAATTTTGTGTCATGAGCTTAGCTTTCCTTGCATTAAAGCTAGGATAATGAACCTTGGTGCATACACTGGTCGTATTAAGAAAATGTGCAGTTTACCACATTCAGGGCCTGCAACCCCTTAATTACTGAATTATGGCCCTTTGGTAAAATTTTGTGTCCAATACAGTCATTTTCGGGGACATCCTCGATACATGTCGTGGCAAATTGAAGGTACAAGTGAAGTAATTTGATTGGTTCCAGGAGAAAAAATGCTGACCAATCACAGGCTGATATGCTCCTTTTGAATATTACAAAGAAGCAGCACCCAACTTCAAAGCCATTACAATATACCAATACGTGACCTTGAGATTTGTTTCATGCACATCGAAAGATCAAAGTAACCTTTTCGTCTAGTTAATACATAGAAACTTCAATTCTGCCATGACATGTTCTCAGGGTGCAGAGACAAAAGTGATTGTAACCCCAGGAGTATCAAGGATATATTAGAGCATTCATCAGTGTCCCTGATACTCTTGTTGTGAAGTAATTTTGCAGGGACTTCAGAATCAGACATTTCAGCAGAAAATTGGGTCTGAAGTTGATGCAGCATAGTATCTATGTATTGTGTACCCTTTCATAGTGGATCTTATATGGTTCCCACAAAATATCAACTAAGAACTATTTTTTTTAGTACATTTGGGGAATGATTCTTAATGGTTACAATGTTGTTACAAAATACCGTGTAGATTAATGAATTTGTTAGGTTTATTGTTTAGAAGAAGAAGATGATGAATTTACCTGTAATTATCTTACACTTCAGGGTTATACCAGGCAGCTGATAATTACCTCATCCTCTGTGGAATCATCATATTTTCAGCCAACATTGCGGGCTCCTTTGGTAGGTAAAGAAGATTAAAGCAGGAAATTTGATCAGCTCTCTACCCTATATCTTCTCTTGTTCTGATTTTTTAGTCCATGTGTTGATTTAAATTTCAAATGAAATGGTGTGCAGTAATAATACGGTCGATAGAACATTGGCTTGCACAACCCCAGATGAAGGGCCAGTATGTGTGATGCCACTTTCACTATGGTGATATAGGTTTGTGTTTCTCAGAAAGATGAAAAACAGACCGATTTCTGTAATCGCTGTCATAGTTTTGTCTTTGGGCAAGACACTTTTCACCAGGTCTCATGCATGTTGTTCAGTAAAGTAGCTATCAGCTTCTACAAGGACTCCACACCTCAAATTGACACAGGCTGTTTGTGGGTTGTTAACCCTGGCATGAAAATTTGTAAAATACGCTGAATGATGAGATTTGGATGTGAATAGTGCTTCCAATTTTTTTTATTCCCAGTACTACTCATGATGTGTAATGGTAGTAGGTCACCAACTGCAATCTTTTAGGAATTTCTCTGGTGTTCTACTACATTCAGAACCCAAGTGTTAGTGAATGGGAAAATCTTTAATGTTGTGAAATAGAAAATCTATCATGTAATAAAAAGAAATTTTGATTTTTTATTCATGAATATATGATTTTATGGGTACCATACTACCAAAGTCATATATATATATATATATATATATATATATAAGGACAACATCAGCAAAAGTATATTTGCGAGGGATTTGAATTCGCCAATGTTGCTACTGGCAAATAAATATGAAATATATTCCCTCACAAAAAATACACCGTAATTGATTTACAATATATTTAAATAAAATTATGTAATAAAGGTAACATTAATTTGTTATAAGTATAAGCATTCAGTTTTAGAGCCTGTTTCACAATTATAGATAGGGCGATGAAAATATTCTGATAAACATTGTTTATTTTCCAGGTTACATGGTGTCCACGGCGTTTAGTAGCGTAAATGTAGCCCTAGCAGTGGCTCCAGCTATTATAACACCCTTACTTCTGTTTGGCGGCTTTTTCCTCAACAACAGGTACATACTGTCACATAGAGTCCAAAGGGTTGTATCAGATACAATCAGGTTCAAAGTTAAAAAATAACGAAAATTGGAAATGTACAAATTCATGACAATGTTTTACAATAAAGAAGATTTTGAAAATAGATGTCAATTCTTGTGTGATACAATTGTACATGTTTAGTCAAACAGAATAACTTTAATAATAATCAATAATTTTAATTATTTTGTCAGTACGATTCCTGACTGGTTGATTTGGGTCAAGTACCTGTCCTGGTTCCAGTTCTCCAACGAACTGCTTTCGATTAACCAATGGAAAGATGTCGACTCTGTCTGTGAGTTGTAATTTTGACAAGTTTGATCTTTCTAATGTCAAGGTCACTGCTGTATCTTGTGCAAGATTGTGCTAAAACTGTGCTGCTTCATAGGATATATCAAAAATAATTTGAGATTTTTTATAAACAAAACAAGCGGCAAAAATTTGTGTAAATTCCCGTACTTTGGTTGTAAATAGTAATCTTAAGACTTTGTGTTATGTTATTGATACCTCTGGTTTCTGCACCTCATCTTGGGTCAGATGAAATTTTACAGTAAAATTTTACAGTAAAATATGTACATGCAGAATAAGCACTGTTTATACTGTAAGGTATCTCAAACATTTAATCAAAGACACCTGTTGATTTTGTCTTCCACATCTGAATCTTTAAAAATTTGGGTTGATTTTAGCGGAGGATCGATGATTTAAGTAAATCTTTTTACTACAGACTGTGCCAATGTGACAGATTATCCAGCCCCGGAAGGCTCTCCTGTATGTGGTAGTGGGACTGCCATTCTAGACGGGTTTGATTTCAAGGAGGTAAGTCAGCTGATGTCGAGGGATTTGTATCAGAGTAAATATTACTTTCGATCTGTATGTCATAAGTATGTTACTGCAGAGCATGTAGCATTACCCGAGTCCATCACGTCCTGTTCTGTCTCAATTCCTTCCAGATCACTTATCATTCTGGCAATTTCATTTCTTAAGAATTTGGGTAAAACTAATACCATATTTCGAGCCTATTCTAGAGCTTGAATTTCAATGTGAGAGCCATCACTAGAATTTCTGGATAAGACTTGCATGTATGAAAGTTAAGACAGTTTTGTGTTATATGCATTTTCAAGGTTACGTTGAAAACTGATAAGCATTTAAATCACCATTAATGAACATTAATATTTCCATGGTTACAGGATAACAAATTGCTGGATCTGGTGGTGTTGGCAGCACTATTTGTGGGATTCCGGCTGATTTCTTTCATTTTCCTGGTTATCCGTGCCAAACGATCCAAAGCTTGAAATCAAGGCTCACCTCCTAAAATGTTTGTATCAAGTGTGTCCATGAGATGGAGGTTAAGAATTTGAAGAAATTAATTTTAAGGTGTTCATACTTTAGTTTTCCTCAGTAACATAAACTATATACAGTCATTTTTATAGTCATTTTGGCTCAGGATTTAAATGTGAGAAATAGATGTTGATTTTGTTAGATTGATTGGGGTTTGACCTTTACCTCTGACATGGTTATAAGATAAAAATTTAGGTTAGGTGCAAGGTGCATGGTTCACACCTCCCTACCAGTTTGTGTTTCTCAGGAAGCTACCAGCTACTACAAGGAAACCTTTCCTCCAAATGACCCTTGCTGTTGATTGGAAATAAACCCTAGAAAGAAACCAAACTGTTCATCTGGCCCAAAACGTCCAGGCATTCATTTTACTGTAAACTTCTTATGATGGTAATTAGCACTGAAAATTGCAGTGTTCTTAAATCATAATAAACAAATTGATGTAAATACCTGGTTGTGACAATGACATATATCTGACTGTGATAAAAACGTTTTATTGTTTTGTTTTGTTTTTAGCTTTGTTGATTGTAATTGACTTAAAATCTATTTTTACTTGAATTTGAGTTTATTGATCAAGTTTTAAGAAATTAGCATACAAAATTATTAAAATATGTAAAATCAATTTAATGTATGACAGCTTTAAGACCACTATTGGCCACCATTGTTTTCAATTACTTCTTTGATTTCTTAATACTGAAATGTTATGAATACTCTGTTCATTCATTGACACATAGGTGATTATGTGATTATTGATAGATAATTTCAAAAAGTTACATTTATCTTGCATATATTTAAACACTCAATAGAAGTTCAGATGTTTCAAAACTGACACCATTATCACTGGTAGTTTTCATGTTTTTTAGCTCACCTGGACCAAAAGGCCAAGTGAGCTTATGCTATAGTGCGGCATTTTTCTAGCATCCGGTATCAACTTTTTAGCTCACCTGAGATGAAGTCTCAAGTTATGTATTGCGATCATCTTTTGTCCAGCGTTGTGCATTGTCTGTAGTGCGTCATAAACAATTTACATTTTGACTTCTTCTCAACATCCAAAAGGCCCAAGGTCATGGTATCGAGCCAGTAGCATGCAGGGATGAAGGGCTACTACGTTCATTCAAATGAATGACCTTGACCTATTTGCAAGGCTCTTAGCGGTCAAATGGGTTGAAATCTTTAAACAACTTCTTCTCAATTAAGAATTGGTCCAAGGATATGATATTGGGCCAGTAGCATGCTGGGAAGAAGGGTTATCATATTTGTATATACCAGGTGAGTGCTGCAGGTCCATTGGGCCTCTTGTTCAATATTTACATGTAAATGTTTACATCATTTTAACAAATGATTTTACCTTGATGTTTTTCAGTATATAATCGATTCATGAAAACTTTTGATGTCAAATTTCATTCAACACCAGAATAGCTGTCTTGGCCAATGACTGATTGAAATGAGTTGCTGTTTTTGAAATTGTCCATTAAGGATTTTCTTTCTCTTACTTGGCTCAAACGGCCTTGTGAGCTAATGCCAAGGTGCAATGTCCAATATATTATTTTATATTTTTTCCTTTGATCAGTTTCCTTCTCAAAAGGTCAAAGGTCATCATTTTAGGCAGGTCAGTTCCTGGGATATAACTTGACATCATTTGCATAAAGAATTGACCAAAATGTCCAACATTTTAAAACATGCCAAAAATTTATTTCAGTTTTAGACAGATAATATTAACAAAGATGATGAAAGAAGGCTTGTTTCCAAGTGTTTAAATAAATTTGATATAAACCAACTTTGAATGTCAAAGTCATTTATTTGTTTGTGAAAAACACTGAATACAAGGTTAGTGATGCAGACTCGTTGGACCTGTGGTTGGTTTATAAATTCTTGTTACATTTGTTAAAGATCACAATATTCACTGTTTAATTTTAGTAGTGTGTTCATGACATAATATTTGTGTAAATACTGAATATATTTTTTTAATCTTTGTTTATATTTATTTTTGCTGTTTATAGACTTGAACCGAACAAAAAACATATACTCAAGAGTTTTTTTTATTGCCCCAATAGTTTTACTTATATGTGACATTATTTTTCATGTTTAGAAGTGTAAATTAGTGAATAAAGAACAAAAATGATTGACTGTGTAAATCATAAATGATATAAAGACAGACTTGAGACCTTCTCTCAGCATTATGCATTCTGACAAACCTTCACAGAAGCTGTTTAGGACTGAATTAACACCTGTGGGTCCATTCTGATTTACACCTGAAATATTACGTTTAAAATGTTGACCAACTGGTTTGTCAGAAAAAAAAATAAACCCAGCTTGATGTATCCAGATAAATCCCATATTTTTCTTGTACATCAGATAGGGAAATCTTACGCAATACTTTGTACTAGATTTTTCTGCCTCCTCCAAACTGTCTCTTTTCTTTATACAATTAAATTGTGACCACAAGATGTAGGCTGAGTTTGTCTATGATATATTATCATTCTAATGTTGTAAAATGAATTGTTATGAGGGGATAAGATGATTTTGGTTTAATGTTATTCTGCACTATTTTTTTGTAATTAAAGTGATGAGATTTTATTTGTACCCTATCTTCCCTACAATGAACGAAGGGACCAACATTCTAAGTCAGGGGATGGGCTTATTACAGGACAATGAAATAATATTTGTCTATAATTCTACTAAACATCAATATATGTTGTTGGGCTTATTAAGGACAATGAAATAATATTTGTCTATAATTCTACTAAACGGATACATATATGGGTGGGCTTATTACTGGGTTTGGGCTTATTGCCAGATAAATCAGGTACATGCTTTGTGGTATACCTGCATATATTGTTTTATTGTTATATATATCTATATTGTATCAGGTTGTTGACTACTTTCATGAAGTGGACGGACAAAATTCATTTAATTTTCTTACAGTGAAATCATGTATTTTTCTATAGGGCTTAATTTTTTGTGGTTTTTGAAAAATCGCTATTTCGGTGGACATTTGATTGTGTAAATTGAAAAAAACTTGAAAATTAAAGGAAAATTAAAGGACATGTAAATACATACGAAATCAAGGAAAATAAATTCCAGACAAAAATTAATGGTTTTACAGTGTCCACAGACTGAGAGAAAATGAAGATACTTTTCCAGTATTTGTTGATACATTAAATCTATTAAAGAAATTTGTTTATATTTGAGATATTTTTATAAGTTTTATTCAGTTTACTTTAAATGTGCAATGTTTCATTTTAGTTTTATCAGCTTCAGGTAAGGTCAAAGGTCACACACTGCTAAAGTTGTAGTCATGTTTCTAGTCCAATTTGTGAAAACCTGTATCGTTTCCCTACATTAAGAATATTTCAACAGCAATCTTCATAGTTCTACAATGTATAATTTGGAAAGAACTTAGTCAATTGTTCTTCAGCTTGACAATAATGAGCGATGTCTGTTTCAATATTGTTGTTTAGCTTTCCTCAGCCGGGAAGTGCTGAGTTTTCTCAACTACAATGTGGAAACTGTCTGCAATTTCTATAAAATGAGAAATAACAAGGAAATATCTGTTTAATCATTTTATGGAAAGTGCAGACAGTTCCTGATTTATATAGATACATAATTATAGCAGAATAATGTGTCCAGGACAAGCATTATGTAATTATGTATGTAGATATTACATCAAATAAATTTTTGCGTGAACTAAAAGAGATCCATTGTTTGTTTTTTCGCATTTGAAATACACAAATCTAACAACATTAAATCAAGTCGGTGTTTTGTGTTCTGTCTCGTCCGGTCATGTTGCATTATGTCTTGTCCAGTCATGTTGTGTTCTGTCTCGTCAACTCAAGTTGCAAATTGTCTCGTCCAGTTGTGTCAGGTTTTGTCTTGTCCAGTCATATTGCTTTCTGTTTCATCTGGTTGTACTGGGTTCTGTCTCGTCTGGTTATGTCAGGTTCTGTTTAATCCAGTCATGTTATGTTCTGTCTCCCTTGTGTTGTGTCCTGTCTTGGCTGGTCATCTTGTGTTCTGTCACTGTTTTGTCGGATCCTGTCTCAGCCAGTCATTTTGTGTCTCCATTGTCGGATCCTGTCTCGTCCAGTCATAAGGTTCTATCTCTGTTGTGTCGGATCCTGTCTCAGCCGGTCATGTTGTGTTCTGTCACTGTTGTGTCGGATCCTGTCTCAGCCAGTCATGTTGTGTTCTGTCTCTGTTGTGTCGCGTCCTGTCTCCGTTGTGTGGGGTCTAGTCATGTTGTGCTCTGTTTCTGTTGTGTCGGGTTCTGTCTCAAATCTATGTTATCACTCCAGCAGCCTCATGTTTTAAGGTCAGACTTCATACAAAGGACAACTACATCAATACTGCATATGACTTTTACATCATGATCCATGGGCACAAGTCACCATTACTATAAAATGCACAGAGAAGCATGGGCATTTATCACTTCTGTTCCAATAAATGGAAATGTGGCTTACATGTTACCACACAGTTCCCACCGTCAGCAGTCTCCAGGGGTTGTACAAAATACACAAAAGTTTCAGTTTATTTATTAGCTTTTCACAGCTTATTGCTAAACATAACAAACACAAACATATTTAATACATACAACTTTACATCCTGCACACACAAACCACATTTACAATAAACATTACATACATCGTCACATTCATTTCATTATTAGTGTTACATAATTCACACAAATAACATACACTGGATAGTGTTATATAGATGAAATGTATTTTACCCCCTTTATCTATTCCACTCCTTTATCTATTTCACTCCCTTTATATGTTTTGTCCCCTTTATCTATTCTATCCCCTATATCTATTCTATGTCCTATATCTATTATATCTCCTATATCTATTCTATCCTCTATATCTATTCTATCTCCCTATATCTATTCTATCTCCCTATATCTATTCTATCTCCTATATCTATTATATCCCTTATATCTATTCTATCTCCCTATATCTATTCTATCTCCATATATCAATTCTATCCCCTATATCTATTGTATCCTCTATATCTATTCTATCTCCTATATCTATTCTATCCCCTATA